CTCCCGGACCCCCACCCCTTTGGATCCCGGTCGTCGGGTTTCTAATCCAGACACACCTATCCCTCAGTGTGTCCGAATATGAATGTTTGTTTATTCTCGAAAAAGGGGGCTTCTTTTATTTATAAAACCGTAACATAAAAAATACATTTATGATTACCTTCTTTAAACTGATACAGGTAGGTACTTTGGGTTACAATATTGCCTTTATCTTTAGTCTCTTCTGCCAAATCCAACGTTTGACTCAAAATGTCGTCCGTCTTATACCCGTCCATATTGACAACTGCATACAAGGAGCATGATGCATTTATTTTTTGTGATAAGAATGCACGAAACGGTCAACCTTGAACTTCTGATCCATATTAGCACCAGGATTTAACGGTAATATGCAAAACAGCAACTTTGACATTTGTAAAATCTACTCACTTGTCAAAGTTTAAAAGAACATAGCCAAAGTAAGGTTACTAGTGGGGTTTCAAGTAAAAAAAAAATTCTTATAATTCATGGTTTGATTTTGTCAATAAATATGCTATCCATTATTTTCCCTTTAATAATCAATGTTAACAAATATAGGGTTTAGCATTGGGGTGTAAGTTAGTTATACAACTCGGGATACGGTGTGTCTGGATAAGAAACCCATCCGGCCTCCGGCCTTCGGGGTTTCTTACCCAGACACACCTATCCCTCGGTGTATAACTATTACATAAAACATGACCAAGTATTGTCTGACCAATTTAGAACATATTCACACTTTCGAGTGACCTTACAAAATTATCCTTTCCCATTGTAATATTCAAAACTAAATAAGAATTCACTTTTTATAATGAAGTGAGTATATAACATAGGTAAGTAATGACCATTACAATGGATGGAATGAAATAGCACTGACATAGTTTGTGAGGACAAAAAGGATAAATTGTTCAAACATTTGAGTTTTTCTTCTGCTTCAGGTAAAAATTTACTACTTATATACCTTAATTTTCTTGATTTTATTGAGCACACAATGTTATATCAATCCGATTTATGAAATTTGAATATTTTTTGATAATTATAAAACTTACTCTATAAATATTTGAAATACGACCATTCAACATCAGATGCTTACTTTTTATTAATGAATGTACATGTATTGTGGGTTTTTTTTCTCCAAAAAATCCTTTGCTTTATATATCAGCAGTCTGACATTGTTTTCTTGAAAAAAATAATCGACTCGAATGTCTGGTATAAAAATTGTATAAAAGATAATTTTACCTACATCTTTGCCCCCATTTTACTTTTTGTTTGTTATATATATGTACCATTAATATAAAGATTTGCAATGTTCAAAATGTTTTTTAAAATTCTTTTCTCTTTCATCTTTAATCAGTAGGCTATTTTCCCAAGGAAAATGCCTCAGGGGATTGTACACTTCGTTAGTAAAGTTATTAAGAGTTCACTTTAATAATTAATCTACAATGAAAAGTCATTCATGCATAGCATTTTATAGTGCATGGAAAGCCATGTACTATGAAAATTAGAAGGGAAAAAACTGACTTTTCATTGGACGAGAAGGGGTGAGTATGTTCTAACATATGAATTGTTAGTAGGATCATTGAAACCATTAAGCTCATGTGCCCATTTAATAGAATATACAGCGGAATCTATAACACTGGGAGAACAATGTTTGTCAATAAGATATGTCAAATAAAGTGCAACATGAACTGGGTTAGTAGGTAATTCTGACATTTTGTGTTCATTTATAAACGTTTTCCATCGTTTAAAACCATAAAGTACTTTTTACTGGTATTCTCGGCTTTGGATTCCACAATAAAGGATGACATCTTGTTGGCTAAATTCCTAAGTTTGTTGTCCGGGTATACACCACTGTTGTCTATGGCAGCCTGGACATTTTGTTCCAATCTTAAACCTGCAAATAATATTGAATCTAATACTTACATTAAAATTCTAGTTTGATTGCTAACATATGAAATCTCAGAATTCGTTCACCAAATACGCCATTTTTACTACTACCTTTAACGACTGAGTGCTCTTTTGGTAAAAACTTTGTACCTTTAATACATTTGGTGAGATCATTAGATGCGAATAGCAACGGCCAGAATGGAGCTGATTTCCATTCCGGTATAACAAGCGTGATGTTGGCTCTGTCGTTTTCTACTTTGCGTACGACCATGGATATTAGTGATGGTGGTGGAACTATAACCAATTTGTTTCTGTGTTCCAGTTTTGACTAAATGCATCAACTGCTTCCGTACCGGGTACCATATTTTAGAGTTAAATCGTTCACACTGTGTATTATAGTGTGTGGCGAATCTGTCTATTGTATATGGACCCCATAGGCTATTAATTTCATCAAATATATCAGAATGAATAGCCCAATCATCGTGATCAGTGTGTCTACTGAGAGTGTCTGCATGTGTATTTTTCTCTCTTGGAACCCATTGTATAATTATGTTTATATTGCTACTTACACAAGTTTGTTTAATGTCAATAGCTATATCTTGTAATTTTTGTACGTTTTGATTGTCTGTATTAATTTTGACGGTTTTGTCACTAAATGTACTATCAAAAGTTTGTACAAACCTACTGACGCATTCTAATTCGCGCCATGTGGAACTCTCGTTCCTTTCTCGTTCTGTCCAGTTACCGGACATTTCCTTGCAAAAAAGTTTTGCATTCAAATCTGTGGTTAAATAACCACCAAAGCCTACATCTGAGGCGTCACAAAACATTTCTATATCAACAATATCATGCTTATCGACTTTACAAATGTCGACTCCAGCATTATTGAGCTTTTGCAATGAAATAGACCAAAAATGTATTTCATTAATTGCTTTTTTACAAATCTTGACTGGTGCATCCCAACTTGCTCTACTCATGATACAATCATAAAGGTATCTAGTGTTCAATCTGACTAAGTCACCAATGACTATCTGCATAGATATCAACTGACCTACAATTCTAGCTAAAAATCTAGATCCAAAAAGTTCTACCCCTTCGTTTGTTTCTTCTATTAAAGATCTAATCTTTTTCTCAGTTTTCATAATTCTATCTTCATTAACAAATATTTTACCTATATTTGTATCCCACGTATACCCTAGCCGTTTCAATTTCTGGCTTGGTAACCAAAAACACTTCTCATGTGCAATCAAAAATCCCAATTGTTCTAGTTTATTTTTAACCATTTGACTGCTCTCAATGCATTTTTCAAAATTACTATCTCCACCCAAACCGTCGTCAAGAAACATTATTATCCTTTTGCCTTCTGATCACAAATGCTTAACTACTTGTCTAAGTACTTTTGTAAATATGTAACCTGCAGTTGAAATGCCAAAAGGAAGAACATTGAATACGAAATATACAGTCCGCCAAAAGTTAAGCACCACCTAAATATAACTGGCACTATTTTTTTAACTATTGCGAAAAAAATATTTATGTTTGGTGTTATGAATTGCCTATAACATACACTAAGAAAATTCATTACGACCAAACAAAGTAAACTCCGATCAACACGCCAAGCAATTTTTTATTAAAGGTCATCTGCACTTTTCGAATACACTGTTTCGATGCCTTTAAATCATCTTCCTACTACCCCGCGTACAGGTGAAATTTGACCTTCACCAAGTCACTGTGAAATATGTCAAGGGGTAAGTTATATGTGACTGAACCTTGACAAGCAATTGACATGTCAAATGCCGGTAGGAGCACTAGTTGCATAGGTAACCATTTCAATGTTAAACACACCGTCATTGTCAGATTTTTACAACGTCATGTTGACACAGGAACTGTAAATGATAGACCCCGTTTAACTACCGATCGTGATGACGGACTCCTTATTGGTTGCGCTAAAGCCAACCCATTTACTCCTGCCCCACAACTTAGACACTACTGGCGTCAAGGTGGTCATGTTAGTGCTCGAACATAGGTCCGTCGACTTCATAGAGGCTACCTAAGAGCACGTCGTGTTGTCAAGAGACCTGCCCTAACAGCCAGGCACCGTATAATCAGGTTTCAAAGGGCTAATGACCATCGACGCTGGAACTTGAGAAGCTGGCAAAATGTTCATTGGTCAAATGAGAGTCAGTTACTGTTACGACCAAAAGACGGCAGAATACGAGTTTGCCGTGGAAATAAAACTGCTTATGACCAAAACAACATTTGCCCAACGACTGCATACGTTGCTGGTGGTGTTACAGTATGGGGTTTCTTCTCATACTGTTGTAATGTGGGTATGCATATTCTGCAGGGTAACATGAACGGACAGACATAAAGGGATTTGGTGCTTAGAAACATTGAAGTCCCTCATTTTGATAATCCTCCACTTGCTTCAAGACCCTTGTGCATGTACGACAATGCTAGACCACACAGGGCAAGGATTGTAACCGAGTACAAAGAGTACAAAGAGCAAGAAGCCATTGACACTATATTTTGGCCTTCCATGTCTTTAGACATGAACCCTATCGAACATGTCTGGGATGCCATTGGCAGAAATCTCAATCGCAGAGATCCACCTTTTCAAAATCTTAGCGATTTAAGAAGCGCAATTGTTGCTGAATGGAATTAATTTGCTCAACTAAAGTTCAGAAGGCTTGTACAGAGTATGAGACTTCGTGTTATGGAACTGTATCGGAAGAGAGGGTGTTACACATCCTATTGACTCAAATATTGACATTAAATTTGCCGAACATACCAAAGATTAATTGTAGAGACTTTTATTGATAATGGGTGATTAATTGTTGTAAAAAAATAAAATCACAGTGAAACTTAAATTCCGTTTCTGATTTGTGTAATTTTCACTATTTCTATGAACGCAAATTTCAAATGCATAGAACCTGCATACGTGAACAAACTTAAGTCTACGGTTTGTTTATGGTATATGTTAGCAAAATTGCTATATGAATATTTTCTCTTTTTCGAGGATTAACTGATTTTTTTAAATGATTTAAAAATCGATAGGTGGTGCTTAACTTTTGGCGGACTGTATATCTCGTATTTCCATCAAAATTCTAAGCGAAACCTAAAAAAGTTCTGTGTATATCTGAGATTTCCAAATGATGGTAAGCAGATCTTATATCAAAACTAAATAAATAATCTCCTTTTTGAAAGAGATCTCTTGCTATCTTAGTATCCTCGTACTTATACCTAAATTTAAACAGATGTGGATTCAAATGCCTACAATCAAGTACTAGTCTTGGTTTATTTTTATTAAATGCTACTGTAAGTGGATTCACTACAGTTGGTTTAGAATAAATCTCAGAAATGCACCTTTTTTGAAGAAGTTTGTCAATCTCTTCAACAACGAATTTTGCATTGTTTAAAGATGATCTGTTATTTTTTAAATGTTTTACCTCTGGTTCCGTTTTTAACGGTAACTTATTACCGTTTTCAATAACATCAATAATATGTGTACTAGTAGTAATAGCTTTCCATTCATGTAATTTTGACCTCAATTTACCTACTGGCGAGACAGGTATATCAACTTCTAGTAGACACTTGGTTTCGATTGAGTAATTTCTATCGTATGTTTATCTTCTGATTTGTTTACATTTGTACTGAATGAATTTTCAGCTTGACCAATATAATATTCTTTCATATTATTATACAAATTAGTACATTCAAAATTTTTAAATACACTTGTCTTTCTTTCCAGGACAATCATTCGCCCAGTGGCCCTTATTGCCACAATTAAAACATCTCCCTGTTCTCCAGGTAGGGGGTGGATCTCTCTCTTTGGTGGAATAAAGCACTTTTCTGATTGTCTTCGACTTTTTCAGCTTGTCTGACTTGCTCCTACGTTCAGCTCTATTTTGTGCTCTTATCATCTTCTTTTCATTTTCGGAGTCATCGGCAATTGGATTAGTTGTGTACTCCTTCACGACTTTCCACCCCAATTCGGATGAATCGGCAAGTTTAATGAGTTTCTGTCTGTCTCTTACAATTGCCATACCTTCAACAATCTTGTCTCTTGCTTGATGAATGGATTCTACGGATAAATCTGGTCCGTCTAACTTTGATTTTGCCTCCGTCAACTTCGTCAGGACTTTAACCTCATGTATGTACTGGTTTTCGTTCCCCTTCCGTTGGAAAGTATAGTTCTCCGACAAAGTCTCTTCAATCTTGGACATCTGGGATTGACTGATATCTCGCTGAGACTGTTGAATATTTCCCTGGAATGTGGATAGTCTGTTATCTATCAAGGCGGTGATTTGGTTAAGGGTATCTTGTTGTGAAGCAGATACTGCATTTTGTACTTCTTGGACAATTACTTGCTTAACGGAATTATCTAAACCGGGGTCCGTCAAATTTCACTGTTGTCCAGTCTGATGCTTGGCTAGAAGTGACCAACAAGGGAAAATATTCCCGCTAAATATCAATATCACGTGATATGTATATATACGTGTACATACGAAGTACATACGAAGTACCCGTATCAATAGTATTCACTAGTACCGTTATTACAGTAATTTCCCACTATACTATCGAACCGTTGGAAATTATAATTAACATCAGCGCAGTATTTAAATCCCTTTCCTAACACGTCTAATATTCTATATGATTACGACCTGTGTCGGACTATTGGGGTTTCGGACTAATGGGTTGTCGGACCAAAGAATAGCGGGGCAACCCCAAACGGAGCAAATCGAAAATTGCCCTGAAGAATAATTAACAATAGAAATAAAAAAAATCACACTGTCTAGTTCTCTTAAGTTCGAATAAATATTCCAGATAAAAATTTCAGCAAACTTAATTAACATATCATATCCATGCCTAAACAAAGAAAAATAGCCAAGGAATGATGAGTGAACCATTTAAGATAAGGTATTTAGGAATTAGCCGGACGGTTATATTAAAAGAATTAGTTAAACCACTTTCCAACAACTATACATGTCTTCGAGATGAATTTAAATTACAATTTGTTTTTCACTTTCGTTTTCAGAGAACGTCCGTCGACTTGATCAAGAATCAAAACGAAGTGTAAAATAACGATTTGGTAAACAGATGATAATTCAAATATAAGGGTAAGTAATTTTTAGCAGATCATGGAGAGAAAAACTAATAACCAATTAAACAATAGTAATTTATGGTAAGTACGTATGATTAAGAACAGCACACGCTTGATTAAGTATAACTCATTCCGGAAATTATTCCAGTGAGAAGGTGTTCCATAATTTTAAGTATAACGTATAGAAGAAGAAGTTGAAGTAATAGATCTTGAAGGACGGACAGGGGATAGCTTTCCCTTTAATTTCGCCTTTCTCCTATATGTGGATCACGGGAGGGGCAGCGTATATATGTGGGGGTTGGAACTACATTATTCGGAGATTTCAAATCCAGAAGAAAATGAAGCTCGAACCCACTTGCTCATTTGTCAACTCCCACAACCCGGGCCCTTCTCTTTAAAAAGTCATACAAAGACCACTTATATTTTGTATCCAAATACTATATGTTTTACTGATATCGTGTTTTTAAAATTGAGTTTTGTTAGAAGATGTAAAATTCAACTTTATCCCAAAAATCTTTTAAAAATGAACATGTAATAAAGAAAATTAATGTAAGTAATCTTCCTCTTCTGTTTTACAAAAATTACATTTTACTATTTTTAGAAATTTTCCATTTAAATAGCACTGCTTTGTGGGAATAATATAATGTTGCAGTTTCCATCTAAACAATTTCATCTTGTTCTCTCTTAATAATTTGAATATAAAATCGTTTACGAATGACATATGTGGCCTGTAATCTAACTTTAAATATCTTGTCGAAATATTGATACCAATTGGCTGTGTATATTTTTGATTTACTAAACTATTATACAACATTTTATTATAGATATCTTTTGTTTGTATTTGTTTATTTCCCCATCTCAATTTATCATTACAAATACTGATTTTACTCTTTATAGAGGTTTCTTTAATCAGAACTTAATTGCTGCCATTCCTTCGGGATGGAGGATTTTAATATCTTAAACTCTGCAATCCAATTTGACTTATTGCTTAATTTTTCTAAAATAAAAACCTCTGATAACTTTCCTTCACGATCCAGTATGTCGTTAATATATATCAATCCACTTGTTACCAAGTTTTGAAAGAACAAGCTTTTGTTGCAATTTTTAATGTATTATATTTCCCCAAATACTCTGTTTTCTGATATTTGAAAAATGATCGTTAAATTTTGTTAAACCTCCCCCTGTTTTCACCCAACTTGAAATTACTTGCAAATAAAAGTCCTGTGTTTTTTCAAATTCTTTTAGTGATTTTACATTATCTAAATTAATGTTACAAACAGGAAAATTTTTACGCAGATTGTTGAAATATTTGGTAAGAATAATCTTCCAGTTCGGCAGATTGGTTCACCGTTGTAATTAATTTGGAAACCCATGAAGCTTTCAGTGCTGTAAAATAGCTATCAGAATCAACAAATTTTAACCCCCCTTTTGGAAATTCGCCGATAAGTGTATTTCTTTTTACATTGGATACAAAATATCAGATTAGGGATATTATGGTTTAAACTATTTTTTGACAGTTTTAGGTTTTTGCATTTACAAGTCATACTATGTTTCAGAGCAAAAATTGAAATGCTTAGATGTGTATGAATTGTTTATAAAGGAATTACGAAGGGTTGTGAATGAAAGCAAAATGATTTCTCAAAATGTATTTTTCATAAATTTAAAGAAATTGATATAATAGAATAATTATTATTTATTTTCATAGTTTAATCATTCATTCATTCAAAGAATATAATTTTGTTGATAAAAAAAAAAGACCACTTAAATTTGTTATTTCCTACACCCCTTTGTTCTTTTCTAACGCCATGTTATATATATGAAACTATATATAAGAACCATAATTCATTCAAATTCTATAAAAAAGTAAGAAAACTAATTTCAATAAAAACATTTTAGTTAACCTAGCCCAAAGGGTCAGTTTAAGCTATTCTCATCACATGGCTTCAGTGGTCAGTTAACTTTTACAAATTTTCATGTATCAATTAAAACTTTGCCACACTCATCTTTATCATGTGTAAAACATGTTGACAGAAATGTTCAGAACGTTAAGTTCTACCTGCTGTTCATTTTTTGTTTACTTATGTTGTCAGACAACTCCTAATTGGATTTTGGCTATCACTTCGAAAACTATAATAGATAGAGAGAAAATGATCAGCAAAATAAGATCTACAAACAGTGCAAAATGACTGAAATCGTCAGTCAGTTCTTTAAAGGAGTTATTGCCCTTGAATGCCAATTTTTACCAATTTTTGTCTGGCCTGCGACTTTCCGCATAACATAGGGATTACTATCCGGCGGCTGCGGCGATGTAAACTATTCGTATAAAGCTTTATATTTCAGACGGTAACAGACCTGGATGCTTCATATACCTTGTATGCAGATACCTTATGTTACGAAGTTTCTGTCATATTCATACCTGCTAACTTTAGAAAATTCCCCATGGGGGTTATAGTGCGAGACAACAATTTCAAAGGTTACAATTTTTTGCGGTGTTTTTTGCACGCTCTGTTTTGTACTCTAGAAAAAGTGTCATATCTTTTTTTTATATGGTATACTGATGATGAGCTTATAAGTATTTTTCTACTTTTATTTGCATGATTCTAGTACTTTTAATTTTCACTTACATTATTGTGTAAAAAAGATGAACACGTAGCTAGAATACCAGGATATATATATATATTTTCCTGTGTAGGAATATTAAGTGATTGTTGACATTTCCAATTTAAAAACATGCACAAAGAAGGACATTTATCTGATTCCTTGTGAAAAATAAAAGATAGTAAATTGTACTTTAAATGATTTGGAGTTTAATTACAAGAATGCCAACACTGTACGATCTGTTACAATAAGTGTAATGTTCATAAGCTACTATTTATTATGTTTGTTGAGTACATGTACTGAATCTTTGAATTTTGTCAATCAGCCATGCTTTTCTTCTTATGCTGTGTAAGAACCTTCTTGTAGATGAAAATTCATCTGCCATCATCACGATTTTTACAATTCTGACTTACAGACAGAGGAATACAACACAATTTTCCAAACAAATTCAAAATTTAGCATGTTTGCAATGCCCAATAATCACGAGAAACAAGGATTTTGATTAGCTTATTAATGTGGCCATGAGAAACAAAGACTTTGATTGGCTGATCACGATTGTCTCCCTTGGGACAATTTCCAGATCGGGAACAATAATTTTTTTCATGTAGAAATTAAAAAAAAAGTGTTTTAGAGCTTTTTTCATGATCACGATCGTGCAATCGTGACAAGGGGTCAAAATCGCGTAGTTCACGCCTAAATCGTGAAAGTTGGCAGGTATACATATGTCCATTGTCCTTGACCTCATTTACATGGTTCATTAGTCAATGTTAAGTTTTTGTGTTTTTGTCAGTTTTTCAAATACTAATAGCAATTATAGGTCAGCTGTTTGGTGTATAGAATAATTTTAAGGTGTACATGTCTGTCTGACAGTATTTATCTGACCTTGACCTCATTATCATGGATCTTTAAAAATGTTTGAAGCTTATGTGGTACTTGTAGTTAAACCTTTATCTTTAAGACTTTCAACATAAAATCAGTGGACAGTAAAGCAGGCGAGACATTTCAGCGTGTGCACTATTGTACTAGTACTAGTATATATGGTGTATGGAATGATACATTTCTATCTGACAGGGTTCATCTGACTTTGACATCATTAGTCAATGTAAAACTTTCGTGGCTATATCAATTTCTCAGATACTAAAAGTAATAAGTCAGCTATATTTGGTGTATGAAATGATTGTATAGTGTACATGTTGTCCACAGGCCCTTGTCTCTGAAATCCCCCCTATATACCTTAATATAAAAAGGTATATAGGGGGAACAAATTCAGAGACAAGTGCCTGTGAAGTTGTCTGACAGAGGTCATCTGACATTGATCTTTTTTTAAAGAGTCACCCGGCTGCTGCATATATGACATATATAAATTGTAAACAGAAAATTTCCCTACCGTTTAGTCACCGCCTACACTGATGTTTGGGTCATTGTGTACTAGACGCTTACTCTGATGTCAACAAACAATGGTTCTACTAATGTACTTAACATTTACTGATACTATCATTACGTCAACATGCTGATAGAAATTAAAGATGAGTCAAACTGAAATACTATTAGTTATCTTGGTGTAATCAGGGGTGTACTGAATTTTACACCGGTGTTGAAAATCCATACATCTGAATGCATTTCAACACCGGTGTGAAATTCCGTACTCCCCTGATTACACCAAGATAACGAATTTATTATGAAGTGTTCCTTTACTCATTTTTATATTCGGGTGTAAAATTGAAAAATGCTTTTGAAGAATTGAATTCATCTCCCACTACACATTTTTTCAACAATGTTGTTGCTATTGTTGTCAAATGTCACCTATTATTCTAATTTTTGGAATTTTTGGAATTTTTGAGAAAAAATAAATTTTGAGAGGGGGGGAAGGGGGGGGGGGGGGGGTATTTTGGACACATAAAGAATAATTATTTTTTACAGAATTTTGGACACAAATTGGTTTTTTTTTTTGTTTTTTTTTTTGGGCCTTTTTTTTTTTATTTTGTCAAAATTTTATTATTTTTTTTGTGTAGTTTTTTTTTTTTTTAAATTTTGGCTAAAAAATATCCCCTGGTGAACTGGGGCGGGTGTTATTTACACCCGGGTAATCAGGCAGGCAATCAGATTGTAAGATTCTTGGTTCATAAGAAATAATGACATTTACAACACCTTAATTCAATTTTAGCTACAGATAAATATACTCTCCTGGAAGAATATGTTGAAACCTAGGAATTGGGATCTCAACATTTATTTTTATTGTAGGGAGAAATTAGCAAAATTGTTCATAAAAAGACATGTTAAAAATGCCACGATTGACTCCCAGATATTATCTTAAACCATTGATATATATATGCTAAAATCAATTATGAATTTTATAACTAAAATAAATCATGTAAGGAAACAGCTATTAGAATTATACTTATAACATATGAAAAAGAGTATAATCAGAAAAGCTTCAAGAAAACCCGCAAGAACTAAGACATCAAACCTTTCAACAAACAAACAGAAGAAGGTATTGACTTATATGAAACAAATATTGAAATGAAGTTTGAAGCTAAAAATGATGAAACAAGAGATATAGAAATGACATCTGAATCAACCGTTAGACACTCCTGCTGAATAACCAGATACTGATTTAGTGTATTCATCAAATTTTCTATGAGTTTTGCATGTAAATACAAAATTGCTCAAATCTATATTGTAAAAATGTAAACAAATTTCGATGCCCATCTATTTGAAGTATTAAAAATGTGGATATCCCCTTTTCATTCCCAGAATTTTCAAGGAACACCCTTTATTTCCTCCCTACCCCCTTCATGTTAGAAATGACCAGTCCATAGGAACATCATGTTTTTTCCTAGCAATTACAGAAGAGACCTTTTACCTCCAACCAACCTTCAATGTAGTAACGTTTTAGTACAGACATTAATCATGTGTACTTTCCTATCATCCTAGATCCAACTGACATAATTTTGACACCTATAGGGACAAACATTTTGAGAGCAAGAATATTTGAATTTTAACTCCATGCTAATAATGTATACATAAAACTATGCGTCCATTGGAACCAAACTAGACCACACTCATCCTTAGGCTATATAGTTTATAAAATTGTGTCGAACGCAACCACCAAGGCTTAAATAAGAACATGGGGATAAAACGAAAATATTGTCCATTATTTTTAAAACCATTTCCTACTATCCATTCTTACCAAAATAAGACTGTCGTTTAATGAGTTTTTGCCCTTTAATGACAATTTGACAAAATTTTGGCAATTTTGGCTATTATCTTTAATCGATGATGTATAAATATAATGACAAAAAATATCTGTAGGACAAGATATGCAATAAGTCAACATGATCAGAATTTTCAGTAGACTCCTCATGGCAGTTATTGCCCTTAAGGGACGAATTTCACCCATGATTGTGTTTATTTTTTTGGAACTACTAAAGTAGATAGAGAGACACTGCAAGCTTAAAAATTCGATCAGCAGGATAAGATCTACAAATTAGTCAGGTTGGCCAAAATCGTTAGTCCTTCTTATAGGAGTTATTGCCCTTGAAAGACGATTTTAACCCATTTTTGTGTTTGTATCGAAAACTATAGTAGAAAGACAGAAACTGCTTGCAGCAAAAATGATCATCAGAACAATATCGTTTATTAAGACAAGTGGACAAAATCTTCAGTCGACACTTTAAAGAAGTTATTGCCCTTGAAAGACGGGGTTTAGCCATTTTGTGTTATTGCAGAACTGTAGTAGATAGAGAGAAACTGTAAATAGCAAAGCGGATCAACAGGACAAGATCTACAAATAAGACAACATGGATGAATTCGTTAGTGAACTACTTATAGAAGATGTCCTTAAGAGACAATTTTTTACCCATTTGTTACTTTTTTGCCAGTAACTCTCAGACATATTCTTATTGTATTGTATCAATTTTACGGAAAATACCAGTTGAGCGATACAGGCTCTTTGGAGCCTCTAGTTTAATTTGCAATCAAATTTACATTTTTGCTTGAATATAGACGGTTTTCACATATATATTTTTGATACATTGTGGCACTTAAATATGCTACTGCCTTTAAATATACCACGTAAACCTCTCATTCATCCGACCTTTGAGCTGTGCCAGTCAGGAACCTATCAGTGGTGGCGTTTTGTATATATCTATAGGTTCTACTACTAAGATAACGAAGTCCAATTTGTTAGCTGGCATGACGTAAAAACGACGAATCAAAGAATTCAACTTTATATATAACTTATGTAGGACAATGGTGTTTAAAAATTACACCATTCCAGGCCCTTTTGACATGTTTGATAGTCTCTGTTAATTTATTCACAAGTTTATTTTGACGCAGAGATATTTAGAACTTTACATATTGTTTAAACACATGTCTATTGTTCAGACCTTATATTAATTTCTATGTGTCTTTTGTTTAATTGTGTCTTTTGAATAATGGTCTCGTCAGGTTGGTGTCTTATTGACGTATACCCCACATCTCTTTTAAATCATACATAAATGAGCCAGGTTGTGGGAAACTTATGATCAAACGTTTTTGAATGAAGTTTCAAATGAGGAATTCTGAATTTTGAGGGCACTCACATTTGGAAAAGAAATATAAGGATCTTTTTAACATATAACAGATACATGAGCAGCTACAAATATGAAAATAAAAAAAAATGTAGTATGATTGCCTTTGACACAATTATTCACCAGAGACCAAAGGACGAGGATGTAAACAACTATAAGTCAACGTACAACTTCCGGCAAGAAGCAAAACCATACTGTATAGTAAGCTATAAAAGACCCCAGCTTGGTAAAATATGAAACAATTCAAAAGAGAACACCAACGTCCTATAATTTATGCTTCCAGCAATAAAAAAAACCAAACTGATATGGCAGATAACAACCCCTGAATTACAAACTCCTGTCTAGTCTATCTTAGAACAGGCACATAAATAATGTAGCGGGTTAAACATGTTCTCGAAAGCTCTATTACACACACACACACACACAAACACACAAAAACACACCTCTTCTCCTAACCTGGGATGGTTGTGTTACAGCACGACATTAATACAAACTAAAAATCAGTTGGAAATGGTTTGATTCATAAGATCGGCACCAAATTCAACTAATAAACATATACCATGTTTTCATAGACTAAAATATCAATGAGTACACATCCAACGGATTTAGTGTAAAGACTTCATAAACTGTCCGAGAAAAGCATTACATTGAGCAATTGCAAGATATACGTATCGATGGGATGTAGGATCCTCAGTTTTCATACCTGTATGTTATGTATAGATACAAGGTGAACAATACACGTATCTTTTTAGCCTCTAGTTAGGTCTTGGCTCGTTGAATCCTCTGAATGCTTCGGTCATTTTTAACCGAAGCGATACTGAGACCCCATATGAGAGTAATTTCCCCTTTTGTATTTGACGTTAGTGATATGCAAATGTAACTCATGAACCATAGGTGACAGAGACCTAGGGTATCTCGATTTGAGGTTCTTGGGCCACCAAAAAGAGAAATGGTGTCAAGGTCAAAGGTCAAGGTCATTTCCTAAATTTTGTCCTTTGCTTGTGTGTGTCCAATCTTATACTATAAAAGCTAGATATAAAAGAACTGATGCTAAATGTTTGGGTTGTTGAGACGAAGAAATGATTCATACAGTCCAAAGTGATCTGATGATATCTTATAGGAGTTATCGCCCCTAAAATGTTAAAATTTAAGGTAAATCAAATATTAATCCATTCTTGTAAATGATAAAGCCATAGTGTCTTTTGCAAAGTATTGGGTGAAACATGACCTTGAAAAATATCAACCGGAAGTGACCTTGTGGAAACCGGTAGTAGCTATTTTTGCACTAATTCAAGGGAAAAATACTAAGAAACTATATATTTTTATAATCAGCATACAATAATCTTTGAATGACACCGGAAGAAGCTAATTATCTCCCTTATTTGAAAAAAAAGTGTATAGGATACTTATATTTTCGGAATCAGTGGAAAGTAAACCATGTTATTAAATTGGAAGTAGCAATTTATCTCCCATATTTAAGGCAAAGGTATATAGAAATATATTTTTTGGAATCAGTGCACAGAAAGCTATCATATGAGCCCGGACATGACATTTTCGTAACCGGAAGTATCAAATTATCTCCCCTATATAAGTCAAAAGTATATAGAAACCATATATTTTTTGAATCAGTATGTAGAAATCTATGATTGGAAGCCAATAGTAACTTTGAGTAAACCTGGAAGTAGCTTCTTATCAACTATTTAGATGTGTAATGTGGAAAGACCTTCAATTGTTCTCTGAACAATTGTTTTTTAATTAAGTATTAGTTTCTTTTATAAAAGATAAAAAAATGTTTCATGAATCGTGAATGAAAATTCAAAATAAAACAGGTCTGACAAGTCTGCGAATTCGTATATATTTAAAACAGTTTAAATGTTTTTTGCAGAATAATGGCAAGTAACTGGAGTGTTTGCGGGGTCTGTGATTATCGCCACATTACAAAACCATCAGTTGTCTGGTGTTCAGAGTGTGATGAAGGGCTCTGTGAAGATGGAAAGACCATCATGGTATTTCAAAAGGATCAAGAAATCATGAAACCGTATCTATTGCAGAGTATCAGAAACTGCCAAACAAAGTATTACAATTGGCACGTTCTTGTGCTAAGCACAATGAGAAATACGTGCTGTTCTGTAAAAAGCATGACTGTCCGTGCTGCAAGAAATGTGTAGTTGAATCACACAAGGAATGTAAAGAATTGACCGATATCGATGATAAAACACGAAACATCAAATCTTCAAATGCTTTTGCAGACATCGAACAGACCTTATCAGAAATTGCAGAGAATATTAAAAGACTTCGAATCAACCGGGAAGACAATTTGGCGTCAATCGGGAAAAAGAGTAGAGAAATTGAAAAAGAGGTTCTAGAAACTCGTGCTAGGATTAATCTTCATCTAGATAAACTTCAGGATGCTGTATTGAAAGAACTGAAAACGAGGGAAGAAGAAGAAAGTAACAAAATCCGACGACTTCTTAAGTCCTTAATAGACAAGGAAAAAGAGATCACAGATAACCAAACAAATATTGGTAATATCAAGCAGTACGCTTCAGACCTGCAAACTTTCCTCGTTTTGAAACACATAGAAAAAGATGTCGTAGCAAAAGAACAGTACATTCAATCAATAGTCAAAAGTGATGGTGCGAATCAAATTGACTTGTCGTGCAAGATTAATTCCTCCTTGCAAGGTTTGATAGCTGCCATTAAAAAATTTGGAGATGTCACGATGATAGCAGATTCATGTAATATATCCAATCAGAAACAAAAGGACAAACAAGCTCAGATGGTGGTAGCTTTACCACCTATGACTATCGATAGCCTGACACCTACATTGGTGCAGACATTTGACACAAAGTTGGCGGCTGTCTGGGGATGTACGCTTTTGCCTGATTGTAGAAAGGTAATTTCATGCTTTGCACACAGAATTATTAAAGTTTTTAAGCTAGATGGATCTCTGGATTTTAAGATTGGAAACTTCGGTCCTATATTCGATGTGGTGTACATAGGAGATAATTCACTTGCTGTGACTTCTGGTTACAGAAGTGATTCCCTTCAAATTAATTTGTTGGACTTAAAAACAAGGAAAGTAAAGAAAAAATTGAAAGTGAATTCAGTAAACTCTGGAGTAGCATACAGTGAAGACAAGTTGATTTATTGTGCTGGAAAGAAAGGAATACAAATGATCAACCTTTATAATGAATCCATTGTAAATGTTACTAAAACCGAAGTAACTGAATTTTCGTATGTTGCAACATTGGGAGACATTATATTCTATACAGACTGTAACGACGGTAGTGTAACCTGCATTGACTTTCAAGTAAATATACAATGGGTTTTTAAAAATACTAGTGTTCTTAATAACACTTTGGGTATATCTGTAGATAGAGATGGAAATGTTTACGTGGTAGGAAGAGATTCGAACAATGTAGTTGTTATCTCTCCCAACGGACAAAACTATAGAGAGCTTCTAACTAGTGATAATGGAATACATGCGCCAACAGTAATACACATTGACAGATTAGGTAATAAAATGCTAGTCACAAGTACAGCGGAAAAAGCGTTCGTATATACTCTCACAGTAGTTTGACAAAGTTCTATTGATGTCAGTACCGTTAGAGTCAGTGCTTCTATGAGGTTAATCAATATTTAAAATGGAAAAAGAGATTATTCCTATGAAACATTTAAAAATAAATTGTATTGTTTCATATTTGATTAAATAAAGTATTTATCCATTAACATTTTGGGCACAATATAATCATGAGTTTTTCAAATTACTGAAGGCGGTGATCTATAGTTCAAATGTTTGTCCTATTGTCTTTGGTGAATGGTAAATTGTCTAATTAGCAATTTACCACAACTTCTTATCTCTATATGAGGCTGTCATACAAAAGCTAAAATGTTTGAAACACTTTAAGCGAGATAACAGGACTGTAACCAACGATAACCCTAGATTACAGGTACATAAAGAATAAGGGGGAGTTAAACATCCTTTTTGTTAGCGCTCAACCCTCCCAGAACCTGATGTTACAGTGAAACATAAAAACAACCTATAAAAATGATTTGAAATGGTTTGACTAGTCAGATTGGCATGATGCGCAAAACATCTCAACTATCATATAGACAAAAAAAAGACACTTTATGAAGGTACCAATCTAAGAGTACCCACAGTTACTGAAAGCTATTTCAAAGCCAATTTCAAGTAATAGGTTCAGCATGTTCTCCCAAACTATTCCATATTAATTGTTGGAAAACAACAAATCCCTTTCAAAGTTTTGTTGAAAAAAAATGAATTTGGAAAGAGAGTTTTGTAATAAGAAAATGGATAATTACATGTAACATGAATACTTTGAGGATTAATTATCAAGACAAAATAAGTCCAAATCAAACAATAAAGAGATAACTTCCCACTTTGCTTTTTCTATTCAATTTTATCTACACTAATATCTGTTTTAATCATGAGTTTTGTTATCAACAGACTAATAACATTAAAATTGCTTACAATAACAGTGAGTATACTTAATATCTTGTGAATAATTTATCAATTTTATCTAGTACTAGTAGAATACCGTTATTTAAGAGTAAATTGTCATCCCTGTATTGGTTTTTGTGACTAGCATGCGACGAAAGTTGCAAAACGCGAGACATAGGTATGCTAATCCGGAGGCGGAGGGGTGTAAACTATTTGTAAAATGCTTGAATCTTCAGAAAGTATAATACCTGGACAATTCATACATTATACATTATATATAGATGCCTTATGTTACAGTGTTTCCATCTTCCATATGCACGTTTTTCTTGACCTCCTTTTCATGTTTCAGTGGCTTTTAAAAAACTGTACAGTTTTTATGTCATGTGAATTTCTCACATATAAGTGATCAAGGTTAAAATTTTTATGAATAATTCCTTTTCTCGGATGCTAATAATCAACATGTCAACTTTATTTGGTGTATGGAATGATTGTAAGGCGTACATGTCTGTTTGCCAGGGTTCATCTGACCTTCACGGCCCACTTTACATGGATCATTAGTATTAAGAAATTAAAGTAAAGCAGGCGAAACATTTCAGTATTTCGCTGAACTAGTTTACATAATTGTTAAGTGGCCATCTGAAGGTCACCATTACCCGTTTCTTTTCTCAATTCGATTGTTACTTTATGTTATTTAATGCACGTGTTGTTAATCTATCGATCGAGTTTTGAGAACTAGTTGAGAATAAGCTGTTAACACAGAGATATGTCTCGCCTATTTGTTATTTTGATAATGCAACTGTTGAAATTAAAATAGCAATACCTTAGCATGTAAGTTATGTAAATATTCAATGTCAATAAACCATGACTGAAGGTACACGGCTAAACAATCTCCATGGAAATCAGGTGTGCCAAATCTAATACAACTGCATACCAAATACTATTGACTTTTCATAAGCTGTTCTCTTTAAACAAACCTAAATACAATCATTAACTTGTAAACTATGTACAAGTTTCAAAGTCAATAAACTATAATTAGGGGGTGGGGTTATATAATCCACATGGAAATGAAACTTGCATATGCCAATACATTTGCATATGAAATATAAATGACATAACATTAGTGGTTCATCTTAAACTGACCTAATCACAAACTAGTCGGGTAAACTAAGCAAAAGTTTTAAAGTCAATAGACCGTGACTTAAGGGTAAGGACCAAATATTCTCCATGGAAATGAGATGTGCTAATGCTTATACAACTGCATACCAATTATCATTGACCTACCTTTAACAGTTTCCCTTAAACTGACCTAATCACAAACTAATACATGAAAACTAAGCAAAAGATTCAAAGTCAATAGACCATGACTGAGGGAGCGGGGACAAATAATCTCCATTGTTATAGATGTGCCAATGCTAATACAACTACATACCAAATATCATTGACCTACCACTAGTGGTTCACTATAGACTAGACCTAATCACAAAGTAATACATTGTTGACGTCGCCGCCGCCAGAAACATCATATCTATGTCTCGCTTTTTGACTTCGTCAAGGCGAGACAAAAACTCAACAAAGATTCCAGGATCATAATTAAGTACACCAATCGCGTGTTTCGTCAGCATGAAACTCACCAGTGCATTCGAGTCGAAATAGTTGGAAGGCCAAATCAATAGCGAAATTAAAAGGCATTGTAGACCTAAATCAAACACATTTTCACGTCAGTACATATTTTATGCCATATTTTAATGTCTTATCCACAAAATATATAGACTCCGGACAACTTAGAGCATCATATTTATAGACGAATGTCTATCATGGGAGACTATGTTTTCCTCTAGATGCCTATTGGTGATTTTTGTTATTGTGCCCTATATCCCAAATCTCTTTTTATTCATGTTTCAGAATCGTATAAAACAAATACATTCTTGTATCATCTAAAAGAAAATGTTTACAGCAAAAATATATTGACTTTTTTCGAGAAACACAATCAAAATGAACAAGGAATATTATATTCTTTACATTTATTCACAAATTTGAAATTGACGAGGAATAATTAATGCGACATGTATCATGTCGTTGATATTCAGATTAAGCTGTTTCAAAATGCAAACAAAATTTATCAAAATCCAAAATATTGCCACATTACGTATACTTTGCAATACAGAGGATGTAGGATACATGCCAAGAATGCGGAAGATACCAAAGAGATATTCAAACTCATAAGTCGATGACAAATTCACAACGCGATGCCTAAAACGAAAAACAACAAAAAAGTATAGAAAACACAACTTAGAAAACTATAAACTGAGCAACACGAACTAAATCTAAGTAAATTGTCATACTCACAACCACCTTTAAAATCTTTTTTTAATGTTAAATAATGTATTTTCTGTCAAAAATATCACTTTGACGTTGATTGATTGTTTGTCTGAGATAATGTAAATGGATGATCCCGTGGAATTTTATTAAATTTTGCATGCAACTAGTGCATGTGGACCTATATAATTGAAATATGTACATGTAACTATTATACTTTCGAAGACATTTTAAAAATATCTAGAAAAATAGTAGTACAAATGTATAGAATAAACGTAAATATATTAAAAAAATCAGTAATTGACGTCGTCTTCTTCATCCAAATACGGGAGTAGACTTATAGATAGCAGTGGCGGATCCAGGGGGGGGGGGAGGGGCGGTCGTCCGGGTGTTGGAACTCCCCCTTTTTTTTGGTCGATCAATGCATTTGAATGGGGACATATGGTGGGATCCCCCCCTTTTACTCCTGGGTTGGGAACCCCCCTTTTTAAAATGGCTGGATCCGCCCCTGGATAGGAGTGTAAAACTACCCGGAACTTGTGTGCTATGGACATATGGACTTAATTAAATTTACCATAAACAATAAAATAAAACAGTCTATTGAAATACATTACGTACAGTGGCTTTGGTGGTAAAATAAGTTGGTGAATCCTTTAAATGTTATGGTGGATATGCCACTTTTGAAGGATTCCAGGGTTTCAGACCGTCATACATTTTCAGGTAGTGAATTCCAGTAAGATATGGTGTTTGGATAAAAAGAATATTTATAGAAGTCTTTATAAGTTGCAATTTTTCGAAATTTATGTTCGTCGAATTTTCTTTCAAAATGATATATTATTCCTACTGAAATATCCGTTTTATTGATATAAAATTTAAATTGGGTCAAGGGCCAAATGTGTCCGGCAGCCAACCATGAAGGGGTATCGGGTCCGTTCGCCCTAACTACATGTTCGCCCTAACTACATGTTCGCCCTGGGTTCGTTCGCCCTATTTTTATTTATTTATGTACGAACGGACCCGGATTCCCATGAAGGCCGATCTGGCTAAAAATAGAACATTATATAGGGAGTAAAACGCAAGTTTTGTCTATTATTTTGAAACCCGCTATAAATAGAGAAAATCTGACACGGGCAAAAATGTTCAGTATGTTAAACTCTATCTATTGTCTATTTACGTCAAAACTGTCAGACGACTTTTTATAGGAGTTATATTGCCCTAAAATGACGAATTTTACTACTATATTTTCCATTTTTGCCCATTTTCTTGAAAGCTATCATAAATTTAAACAGCAAAAATTATCAGCAAGACAAAATATTCAAATAAGATAAATAGCGGAAATTGTCAGTCAACTCGTTACTAGAGTAGTTGCCCTTTAACGACCATTTTAACAATATTTTTGTCATTTTGCCTCAAATCTTAAAAAAACTGTAATAGATAGGTAGAAACTTTAAAGAGCAAAAGTGATCAGCAAGACAAGATCTAAAAATAATTGTAATGGTTGAATTCTTCAGTCGACTTGTTTTGGAGTTATTGTTCTTTAATGACGTTTTTTTTTATCAATTTTTGCTTATTAACAAAAGAGACAGAAACTATAAATGACAAAAAATGATCAATACGACAAGATCTGCAATCAGGTCAAGTTCTGCCGAAAAAGTTAGTAGATAGTAGTGATTGCCCTCAATTGACGATTTTTGTTTACACTCTTTTGTGTTTTGGGCAAAAACTAAATAACATAGAGGGAAACTGTAAACAGTTGTCTACAATGTTGAAGATGCACATAGACCTAGGTGAGAGACTTAGGCTATATAGGGCCTCTAGCTTTTTAAGTAAGTATAGTTAATTTTTTCTACACAGCGTAAAAAAACACCGAATAGTCAAACCATTATACTAACCGCTATCGGGACAATGAAATCTCAACAAATCGATCAGTTTCCAGTCCCGATAGTATAGTCCCAGCGTTATGACTGCACTGTGCATAGAAATATTCTTTTATCACTTTTTTTTTAGATGCTAGAGACATTTGGATGATTTATACAGCAAAATCGAATATAGTGATCCTCTATTTTTTCATATCAAATAAACGAAAGTTTTAGTGGCAATAACATATCATTTGATGAGAGGTATGTGAGAAAAGGCACTTTGAAGTAAACTGATTTTCAATATGTTAGGATTTTTACGTACGATTTTTACGTGCATACTAAACATAGATATAAAAGTGAAGATGTGGTATGATAGTACATATAGTTCTTTCTACAGAATTTTCAATTTGATATTTATTAAAAGTTGTTTTGTTGATAATTCATCTTCTATATGTTACTGCTACTTGTGAATCATCATGATATTAACTAGAGATTCTATTACTCATTTGGATTTAAGTCAACAATTGACACTGTGCAGATTAACGATACTAAGCCTAATATTCAATCTACTAGTACTTAGCTTCCGAAGCAATCAGTCCAACTCTCTGCAAGATTCTCGGAAAATTTTCACTTATATTTAAAATGTACTAGTATATTGCTATTGCCGTTGTGGACGGGGCTTGTTTTCAGCTCATTAGAATGAAATGCTGATCATAGATATATTATTCAAACTAATACTTCACACAACTTTTTCAGCATATTTTGAAATATTTTTTTGTTGTAATGTTTGAATGTGATTGGTGGGTTCATTTACTATAATGATTATAAATTACCAGTACTTGAACTTTTCTTATATTTTCTATGTTTAAAAATGCATGGTCATTAGTGTATCATTTAAACAAAGTTTGGTAGCAGTTTGTCCTTCACATAATATTTCAAGCTTTTTTAATAATTTATTTTGGAAAATTTTCTACTTTTTCTAATGTTGGTGTCTTGTTTAAAGGTGAATGTTCAGTGGGCCGTGAAATTGGGGTCAAAGCTCTAATTTGGCATTAAAATTAGAAAGATCATATCATAGGGAACATGTGTACTAAGTTTCAAGTTGATTGGACTTCAACTTCATCAAAAACTACCTTGACCAAAAACTTTAACCTGAAGCGGGACAGACGGACGGACGGACGGACGAACGAACGGACGCACAGACCGAAAAACATAATGCCCCTAGGTGGGGCATAAAAAAGCATTGTAGGAGCTTGTCCTTCAAAAAAATTTCTGATTTTTTATATATATTTTTTTTTTAATTTATCATTTTAAGAATTTCTTGGTCCTAGTTTGATGTAGTTTTTGGTTTCCACATAGAATTCTGAAAGAGTATAATAAGAGTAAATTTCAATTAAATTTTGGTGCCACCTTGCTCTTCACACGACAAAGTTGGTTTAGGTCATTAATTACCATTCCTTATGGAATAATGGCAGCCTATTTGAAGCTGGTTTTAGTCATTAACCACCATTCTATAAGGAATAGTGGCAGCCTATTTGAAATTAAGGTCATTAGCCACCACTCTTAAAGGAATAGTGGCAGCCTATTTGAAGATGGTTTAGATCATTAACCACCATTTTTTACGGAATAGTAGCAGCCTATTTGAAGTTGGTTTAGGTCATTAACCACCATTCTTGAAGGAATAGTGGTAAAATATTTAAAGTTAGTTTAGGTCATGTTGGATAATTCTTAAATGAATAGTGGCAACCTAATTTAAGTTAGTTTAGGTCATGTTAGACCATTCTTAAAGGAGTAGTGGCAACTAAATTAAATTGGTGTTAGGTCATGTTAGACCATTCTTAAAGGAATAGTGGCAGTCTAATTAAAGTTTGTTTTGGTCATGTTAGACCATTCTTAAATGAATAGTGGCAGTCTAATTAAAGTTTGTTTTGGTCATGTTAGACCATTCTTAAATGAATAGTGGCAGTCTAATTAAAGTTTGTTTTGGTCATGTTAGACCATTCTTAAAGGAATAGTGGCAGTCTAATTAAAGTTTGTTTTGGTCATGTTAGACCATTCTTAAATGAATAGTGGCAGTCTAATTAAAGTTTGTTTTGGTCATGTTAGACCATTCTTAAATGAATAGTGGCAGTCTAATTAAAGTTTGTTTTGGTCATGTTAGACCATTCTTAAATGAATAGTGGCAGTCTAATTAAAGTTTGTTTTGGTCATGTTAGACCATTCTTAAAGGAATAGTGGCAGTCTAATTAAAGTTTGTTTTGGTCATGTTAGACCATTCTTAAAGGAATAGTGGCAGTCTAATTAAAGTTTGTTTTGGTCATGTTAGACCATTCTTAAAGGAATAGTGGCAGTCTAAATAAAGTTGGTTTTGGTCATGTCAGACCATTCTTAAAGGAATAGTGGCAGCTTTTTGAAATTTTTGAACTCCTCCCACCAGTTGTCTACCCAGTTTTTCAATTTCTAGGTTTTCACTCTATTAATTCAAGATGTGCATCTCACTTGCTAATGGTGAAACCTTGTGAATTTTCAGCAACTGTCTGTTTGTTATGCAATAAATTCATTTAGATTTACAGTTTTAAATGTTGCTTTTTTGTACATGGTTCTACATAGAATGTATTGTTGTAGAGGTATAAAGACTAACAGTCCTATATCCTGTCAATATCATTTACTTATATTTTGGCATTGCATCAGGCCATGCTTTTCTCATATTGTTTATGAATTCTTTACACTTTATCTGTTGAAGTGTTCTGACTAATACCTTAGTACGGGATAACATGATTTATCTATAAACAACTTTCACATTTGCGTATTTTTCCATACATTTCTGATTTCAAAATGCTTATGTGTAGTAAGAGTCTTTTATCTAATTACTGTAAATTCAATAATTAATGTATTGTTTTTATAAATGCCAAAAAAAAGTGACTGTGTGAATATCACAATAATAAGAAATCTCATTCTAAATTGAATACATATATCTGTATGCAGATTTTCCTGAATTTGCAATAAGTAATCTTATATTTTCATCTTCAATCTTGGTGATAATAAATGCATGCAATATTTTCTGAATTTACAGCACACAATTTATGTTGACTGACCTCTGGTCAACAGGTAAAGCCATTTCATAAAAAAAGGACAAAAAAATTGGTCTATAATTTGTTATTGGCTTTGAACTATGGTATAGTTCGGTATCTGTGAGTACCCTTAGATTGGTACTTTGTGTCTTTTGTCTTCATATAAGTTTTTTGTGCTTTGTGCAAATCAGATGAGTCAAGTCATTTCTAACTACTGTAAAGTTTGTTCTTATAATATGCTGGTACACCACTGACCATGTTAGAGAAGAATTTTAAGAATTAGGGTAGATTTAAGCGCTCACAAACATAATTAGCCCCACCATTCTATATGTGCTCGTCCAAATTCAGGGGCCTTTACTTCAGTGGTAGTCGTCTGTAGCTGTTAATCATATTTGTTTTGCCAAAAATCAGGGTTTTATTTTGTTTTTTTGTAAGAATTGTTTAACTTATATCATGTCATGGACCTTTTATAGCTATCTATATGACATCGGATTTGCTCATTGGAAAATTCTGTACTGTGAGTCCTTAAATGGACATCATTTGGACTTAGTCAGATGGTTGTTTCATTGGCAATCAAACCACATCTTCTTATTTCTATATTGAATATATTTTGAAGATTTGCACTTTGTTTTCATAGAAGAATATATTTCAAAATATATGCAGATATTAAGATCAAATTACAATTTTGCCAACAATCATGGTTAATTATTAAAGGCAATATTCAAGACTTTTGTCAAGTCAATTCTAAGGAGAATCAAAATACCTGTTTAATAAGGTCCCAAATATGGTGATTTCTAGAAAATTATTTAGTATAGGTCATATATTCAAAACAATAGATTTTAAATATACTTTTGATAATATATAATATGATTCTTGTCATTTCTCCTACATTTTTATATTATTTAGCATTCATTTCTTCCAATGTATTGCATATGAAAAATAAAGACATCCTCTTCCACCATCAATAATGACAATTTTAGAATGGCAAAAACAAATACATAGTTCTATCTTTATTTTTCAATAAAGTTCAGTTATTATATCATGTATATATTATCTATTAAAAAAAAAATGATGCTGTTATTTTCAAATTCAGTAGCTAACATTTTCATCATTATTAGGAACAACCGAATGTAATTCTTGATCTAGAAAATACTTTTGTCCAAATGAAAAAAAATATAGCAACAAACAACAGTCCAACCAATAAAATGCAAATCTTTTCTTAACAAAAATGAGAATATGGATTGTCCTTTTGTTGTAAATGACTTACATTTTATTTGTTTGCTTTGCTGTCATTGATGGGTGGAAAAATATTGTAGCTCAGGAGTAAATTGAAGGAGAATGTGTTTTCCCCATATAGTTTCAAACTGTTTGTAGAAAATATCATGATTTGATAGGGTAATAATGGTTCTGTTGCAATACAATGTAAATACATGTAATGTAAAATGAATTCACTGCCAATACAGCAAATAAATGTATCAGTTAATTGACAGAGATAATTTAACAAACATTTGGTATGATTTTTTTTTATAAAAATAGAAAAAGCTCAAATCTATGGGAGAATATTTCATTTCTTACTTTTTTTTGACACCGTTAAGGATATAAATATATATATGTCGATTTAAATTCATTGAAGACATTCAAAAACTAAAAGTTTTTTTTTCCACAAATCTAAAAAAAATCAACCATTGATGCATGAATTAAAAAGATAAGTTCAGCAAGATAATTATAGACATTTACTTGTCAATTAAGCATGTATATTGTGACCTATAATGGTTTACTTTTATAAATTTTGACTCTGATGGAGAGTTGTCTCATTGGCACTCATACCACATCTTCTTATATCTATATCATTTTTACACAAACGTTGGGACAGCTCATAATACTCAACAGCTCGACAATTAAGGGCAAGTGATTTTGTAGCATCAATGTTGGATATCCAGTTACAACAAAGTTGTGACTTTCTTTGTTTTGCTTGCTGAATGGGATGTAATGGTCTGAGATGAAAAAAAAAAAAAAACTAAAACAAAGTTTGGAAAATCTTTCAAAAATCAAACCATTTGTATTTATAAGTGACCAAACAAAAAATGTAGTACCACAATTTGTTTTTCGAAGTGACACTTATAATAGGATGGTAACAAAATTAACAAGTAGTGGTTATATCTAAACCTTAAGTTTTGAGATAACAAATGTAAACAAGTGAATTACAGTACAATACTGGTCATTTAGTATTCATTCAATGTAATGCCAATGAAATGCAGGGTAGACAAAAACAAATTATCAGTCATGACTTATATAAATAAATCAGAAAGGTATCCACATGTAACAAGTCATAAATTTCAACAAAAATATAAAAGTATAAAATAAAGATACACAAAAAAATAAATATTAATGAAAAAATTATGTATTCTAACCTTCAAATACACAACAATTACTAATAACTTTGATCTACAAATTAACAAACAAAAAGTATCCAGACATTTTTCTGAACCACACTTAATTAAAGATGCAAAGTATAGCACTGCTTTGAAAAATACAGTTTTATAGCCACAGTAGACATGAGAGCCATTTTTAATTGTTACATTGTCGTCATTATTAGACCTGATAAAAGTATTGTTTAAAAAATGCGTCCCATTTACATGATTTATTCATAATGTTATATTCGTTTGTAAATCTCAGCCAGGGATATTGACTTTAAAACTTTTAACCTAATAGTCATGTATCTTATTCATTCTTTTTATTACATTGTAAATGTGAATTTGAATTAATTGTTGATTGCAATTTCTAGATAATTACTGAGGCAAGCCATTAATTTTACATGATATTTGACAATATGTTAATTTTAAGAATGTTTCATGTTATATGAAAAACTTAACTCTATTGATATATAGTCAACCAGTGAATAATATTAATCTAAAATGCTTACATTTCTCTCTTCACATTAAGTCTTGAATATGAGTTATAAAGCAATGTCTGATACGTTTTTTTTTATTTCAAAAATGCTTTAATTAGGATTTTTTTTTTAATTTTGGTATATTTCATGTATTTTAAATGATATTAATGGTGTAAATAATGGAAATCGAAATTCAACTAAAATAAAATTCCATAAAAACAATGAATAGAAAATCATTCATACCTGTACACCTGACCGGATCTGATTTATATTAGGTCTATTTTTTAAAGAAAAGTTTGTTGGTGGCAGTGTTATTTTCTTTGCATAAGTTCATACATAAAAATATAATGTAATGTTCATTAAATGAAGAAACTGCAAATAGGCATTTTCATCTACTTAACAAATACCAAGTTGCAAATATTTCTTACTAACCAATATATAAGAACAAAATTTGGAAATAAAAATAAAAAATGTTGATATAAAAGGTGTGTATCATAATTATGTAATTTTAAATACAAAAAAAAAAGTCCAAATTTTCTCAAAAGTTTTTTGAACATTAAGCACAAACCATATCTTTTTTTATAAATCCAGTTCCTTTTTCCACAGAGGTTAATTTTGAAACGATCTGAGAAATTAAGCCTACAATGCTATAGTTCACAATATTATCACAGAATAACAAAGTTTGTCCTGTCATAATGGACAAATGATTATTATGTGGCTTTCATAAGAGTTGGTAGACTTTTGAATATCTTCAATGCCCATCCCATTAAGAAGTTCCACAGTGACTTGGCTATGGTGAATCTGTTCATCAACAATCTCCAAAGAATAATTATACCAAACACATTGATACATAGGTTGATTCTTTGCAATCTGAAAAAGAAAAGGCATGGTTCCCTTATTATCATTGTTTAATTTATTTACTTTTCTTTATAGGCCTGTGACAATTTAGAGATTAACATATTGTCCATTGTATGGGTCTGTATGTTGCCCTTTATATATCTTTTGGTTATGAACCCTGCTTTGTACCAGGCAGAAACCCTGAACTAAAATTGGGCATTCTAAGCAGATTAATAGCAAACACCAATTTTCAAGTCTTTACCCCTATTGGTTTGACCTGGCTGTTCATAGAACAGACCACCAAGCTACCACTAGACCATATAGGTGGTTAGTTTTCAAAAGAATGGTGTATCGTTCGAGTCAATTTAAATATATATTTTTGCCATAACCCAATTTATATAAATGATTACTTCATTGATTGTGCTTAACATTTTAAACATTTAAAGTCCTCTTATTCCAATAAGAAAAGAGTAAAAATTAACATTAGGGTTTTAGAGGCAATTTAGAATACTGTCTAATATTGTAAAATCTATGAAATACTTGTATATTACAAACCTTTGGAGGGTTTTCCTTGCTCTTGGTAACTCTGACAATTCTTCTTTCAGTACAAATTGTTTAGTTCCTAAACAGTAGCGCTCCATATACTTAGACCAGTCTATTAATTTAGGGTCAAAGTTGAATGTCTAAAAATAAAACAAAAGAACAAATAATCATTATAAGAGATTAATTAGGGTAATTAATGTGCGTTTCGTCAAATTGGTGTTCAATCAAATTGTTTTTCAAGGTCTTATTTTTGCATCTTTTAGATTAAACAAGCATTCTGTGAGTATTGCATGGCAATACATAGTCCCCTACCAGTTAAAAATTCATTGTAATGGAGCAAACCTACCACTAAATTCTTCAAACAATTTACTAAAGAAGAGGAAAAAAGTCCAAAATGTCATTATCTTAATACAATGTCTTTTTACAAATCTTTAAAAAAAAAAGAAGAGTTATTTCCCTTTGAACAGAAATCTAGTAATTTATAAGTATTTCATCAAAAATTTAATTCTAGGGAAAGTTAAACAAGAGGCTCTAAAGAGCCTGTGTCGCTCACCTTGGTCTATGTGCATATTAAACAAAGGACACAGATGGATTCATGACAAAATTGAGTTTTGGTGATGGTGATGTGTTTGTAGATCTTACTTTACTGAACATTCTTGCTGCTTACAATTATCTCTATCTATAATGAACTTGGCCCAGTAGTTACAGTGGAAAATATTTTGTAAAAATTTACAAAATTTATGAAAATTGTAAAAAATTGACTATAAAGGACAATAACTCCTAAAGGGGTCAATTGACAATTTTGGTCATGTTGACTTATTTGTAGATCTTACTTTGCTGTACATTATTGCTGTTTACAGTTTATCTCTATCTATAATAATATTCAAGATAATAACCAAAAGCTGCAAAATTTTCTTAAAATCACCAATTCAGGGGCAGCAACCCAACAACGTGTTGCCTGATTGGTCTGAAAATTTCAGGGCAGATAGATCTTGACCTAATGAACAATTTTATCCTAGTCAGATTTGCTCTAAATGCTTTGGTTTCAGAGATATGAGCCAAAAACTGCATTTTACCCTATGTACTATTTTTTAGCCATGTCCGCCATCTTGGTTCGCGGGCGGGGTCACCGGACACATTTTTTAAACTAGATACCTTAATGATGATTGTGGACAAGTTTGGTTAAATTTGTCTTAGTAGTTTCAGAGGAGAAGATTTTTGTAAAAGATTACAAAAATTTACGAAAAATGGTTAAAAATTGACTATAAAGGGCAATAACTCCTTAAGGGGTCAACTGACCATTTTGGTCAAGTTGACTTATTTGTAGATCTTACTTTGCTGAACATTATTGCTGTGTACAGTTTATCTCTATCTATAATAATATTCAAGATAATAACCAAAAAACGGCAAAATTTCCTTAAAATTACCAATTCAGGGGCAGCAACCTTTAACGGGTTGTCCGATTCATCTGAAAATTTCAGGGCAGATAGATCTTGACCTGATAAACAATTTTACCCCGTCAGATTTGCTCTAAATGCTCTACATTTTACCCCTATGTTCTATTTTTAGCTATAGCGGCCATCTTGGTTGGTTGGCCGGGTCACCGGACACATTTTTTAAACTGGATACCCCAATGATGATTGTGGCCAAGTTTGGTTAAATTTGGCCAAGTAGTTTCAGTGGAGAAGATTTTTGTAAAAGTTAACGACGACAGACGACAACGACGGACGCCAAGTGAGCTAAAAATGAGTTAATTCCCTTTGAACAGAAATCTAGTAATTAATAATTATTTCATCAAAAATTTAATTCTAGGGAAAGGGCTTTAACTGAACAAGGAGAAAAGCTAAAATCGTGAAAATCGAACTTGACCTGTAACTTGTCATGATAAAACAATACACCAAATATCAAATCAATATCTTCAAGCATAAAGAAAAAAAGTCTGGAAAACTGATTTACCGGACTGACGGATGGACAGACAGACGGACAGAGTGCAAACCTAAAGTCCCCTTCGAATTCGTCGGTAGGGGACTAAAAATAACAAATGAAACCTTTTTTAGGGAATGTTGTTACTCGTATTAATTTTACAGATAAATATTTGTAAAATGGCAATTTTATGTCAAATATGTCAATTTTGACATGTTGAAGAAGTCAGAGTTATATTATAAATGACATTTCTGCACTTAACTGACCAGACTATATAATCCTATTATTTTATAGCATTAAAATTTACTCAACTTCTAAAAGCTCATCATATTTATCATCCATAAACATTTCAATAGCCAAACCCCTCTCCTCCCCCCAAAAAAAACAGGGAAAAAAAATTGGAAAGAAGCACTTACCTTTTGATCTTCAGTTGTCATTTTGTTCAGCAACATATACAAATTGCCATTCGCAAATTCCCATTCATTTGAGGTAAAAAAATCTAAACTACCAACTGATCTACGTAGTCTGTCTTGTATTTTAACAAATCTGTAATAAAACGAAATAGTCATTTTTTTAACAAATGTGACACCATTATTTATTATACAAATCATTGATGGATCAACAGTCCAAACCACCACATAAATATATATATAAATGAAACCATAAAAAACTTAACCTGATGTTAACCAAACACCTGTCAAAATGGAACTAAAGTGTCAGAAAGTCAAAAATAACAGTCTTTTGTAAATAATAATTGAAATCAATATATAATCCAAAAGCAACATTTCATTGCAAAGGGTGCTGTTCAGACAGGGTTAAATTGTGAAAGCATACATTTCTTCTACTGCAGAAAGACAATGAAATTCATTTTTTTTAGTTCATGCTGTTCTCATCACGCATTAAAGCCATCAAAACACTTTCAGTGTATTATACAGCTCTGCAACTATAAATAAAATGCTCCACTGGGCGCAGCTTGATACAACCGCAGAGGTCGAACCCTGAAAAGTTGGGGCAAGTATGGACACAACATTCAAGCTTGATACAGCTCTGGATTTGGATTGTGATTAAATATTTGACACAGCATAGGTTGCTGACACAGAAAGAATGTGGTCTAAGAACTTAAAAAAATTTAATTTACCTATTCAACCCATATCATTATTGTTTGCTTTTATATATAAATCAGAAATAACCAACTTAAAACGGAAAATTTTAAAGAAAAAAAAAAGGAAAAAAAATCCCCCCCAAATTTTTTGAATCCCCTTATGATTCATTACCCCCATACTCAATCCCAGCCTTCCGTTTGTGGTATGGTACCTTGCAGTACAATTTCAGAGAGATCCATACACTTGAACACAAGTTCTTGTCTGGAAACTAGAAAAATGCTTATTTTTGGCCACTTATTCCTAAACATTTTGGGCAATTACCCCCAAAATCAATCCCAGCCTTCCCTTTGTGGTATGGTACCTTGCAGTACAATTTCAGAGAGATCCATACACTTGAACACAAGTTCTTGTCTGGAAACTAGAAAAATGCTTATTTTTGGCCACTTATTCCTAAACATTTTGGGCAATTACCCCCAAACTCAATTCCAGCTTTCCCTTTGTGATATGGTACCTTGTAGTGCAATTTCATAAAGATCCATACACTTACACACAAGTTATTGTCATGAAACTAGAAAAATGCTTGTTTTTTGCCCCTTTTTTGGCACCTAATTCCTAAAATTTTAAGGCAATTACCCCCAAAATAAATCCCAGCATTCCCTTTGTGATATGGAACCTTGTGGTACAATGTCAGAGAGATAGATACACTAACACACAAGTTATTGTTTGGAAGTTACAAAAATGCTTATTTTTGGCCTCTTTTAGGCCCTTAATTCCTTAACTGTTGGTACCATAACCCCCAAAATCAATCCCAACCTTCCTTATGTGGTATTGAACCTTATGGTAAAATTTCATAGAGATCCATAAAGTTATTGTGCAAATACCAATGTGTCTTCGGACGACGACGACGAAGACGACGTCATACCAATATACGACCACAAATTTTTTTGCGGTTGTATAAAAAGCTACTTAATAACTAACATCTAATAATAGGTATTCCTATCATTTATTTTTCTGGAGAGGACAACATGAGTATGATTTACTTGTGTCCATTCTATTTTACTTTTGAGTCAATAAAATATTTTAAAACTAATCAATTATTTGAGTATTTGTATTTGACATGATAATTTGGAAATTAAAGCATTGATGTAATGTCAACATTAACTAAAATTATGAATACTGTGAATCTACTTACATAGTACGTTTTCCTTGTATCCATAAGAAAAAGTCCATGATATAAGCAGGTAACATGTGATCAAACAACATTAATATCTCATGATAAATCCTACAAAATAAATATACAGTCTGGTGTTAAAAATTTGTTACACAGCAATTATCTGTCTAACCATCATAGAATGAAACTTTGGCAGAAGCTTAGTTATGATTAAGAGATAATGTTTGAAGCAAAATTTAGAAAATATATTTCTTTCATTTTTCAGAATTTCTCTCTTCGAGATGGGGGTTATTTAAAAATGCATATACTGTTAGTAAAGTAGGCAGATGATCTGTAAGGAACTTGATATTTTGCACCTTTAAAACTTATGATATTATATGGATTGTTAGTGTGACAATTGTATTACACACAAAATGTTTGCAGAGTATTGTATATTGTTATTTATATTTCTGAAGCATCACCACATGTATTTTTTTCATTAGAAAAATGGTTTAAATGTAAACTTACAAATTTTTTGTAAATCTAGGATTGGGTATCCTGGTGACTGTGTTGACTGGGTTTTTCATGAAATACTTATAACTATCTCTCTCTGTAAAATACAAAAGCAAAGATCTAAGTTATTATGGAGTATAAAACATCATTCAATGGCAATTAATCCTATAACTAGTAAGATAATTTGGCCATGTTGACCTACATTGTACTTGTAGATCTTATTTTGCTGATATTTTTTGCTTTTTACAGTTCCTCGCTACTCCTGTAGTTTTTGACACAAATGGAAAAAATGAATAAAAATCATCATTTAGGGGAAATAATTTCTATAAAGAGTTTGCTCACAGTTTCAGCCATGATGACTGATTATAGTTTGTACAAAAACTGCTTAAAATGGAAATAAAATAATCATTTTTCAAGGGCAATAACTCCTCTCTGGGTCAATTGACAAAATTTCAACTATTCTTACTTATATGTAGATCTTATTTTGCTGAACATTTATGCTTTATGTTGTTGCTTTCTATAAAATTTTGTTTCTGCCAAAAAAAAAAGGTAAAATGGGTAAAATGGTCATTCAGGGGCAATAACTCCTTTAATTGAATTTTAGGCAAGCTGTTTTTTTTTTTGTAGAGCTAATTTTGCTGTACACTTTTGCTTGTACAATTTCTCTTAATTTGTCATAAATTAAATGAAAAAAGGCAAAAAATAAGTAAATTATTTCTTTCAAGGGCAATAACTCTTATAAGGGGTCAACTGACAATTCATCAATGTTGCCTCACTTGAAGATGAGATTTTTTTTTAAAGATTCTCCCTATCAACTATAGCTTCCTAAAAAAATGCAAAAAAGGTTAAATCATCATTTAAAGGCAATAACTCATGTAACAGGTCATTTGAAAATTTCTATTAAGTTTGACTTTTTTGTAGATCTTATTGTTATGGTCATTTTTACTGTTTTAAATTTCTCTCTGTATTAATTTTGAAGATGAAAACCAAAAACAGAGAAATTTGCAAAAACATGACATTTCAGGGGCAATAACCCCAAAAAGAATTGTCTGATTTTTCTGAAAATTTTGCAGGAGATAGACCTTGACCTACTTATCAATTCAGACTTGCTCTTACTGCATTAGTTTTTGAGACATAAACCAACAACTGCATTTTACCCCCTATGTTCTATTTTTAGCAACAGCCGTCATGTTTATTGATGGATCAAATCCTGGTTACAATTTTAAAACTAGATACGCTAAGGAACACCCAGGTAAAGTTTGGTAACATTTGCCCAGTAGTTTCAGAGAAGATTTAAAAAAAAAAACAGTAAGTTTTCAACAATGTATGGACCCCGAACACGAGTGATTTCAAAAGCTCACATGGCCTTTCAGACAAGGTGAGCTAAAATGGTTTTCTATTAGACTACATCATTTTATGGAAAAGAAGAGATATGTTGAATTAATTCATAACACAAAATCTTCATTCCACTTAACAGAAACCCCAAAACAGTATTAATAGTTTCCTTTCAGTGTAGTGTTTGGTGGAATGTTTTAAATAATCTTTGTATTGCTGCAGCCGGTTGTACGAACGTGGCATTAGCCTAATGGTTCAATAAGTCTTCATTAAGCTTTTATGATGCATTAGGCTAATGAAGACGTAATGACTCATTAGACTAATGACACATTTGTACAACCGGCTACTGTTCTTTACCTTAAGTTTACAGTGAGGACTTTTACATGGAGCACATAATTTGACCTAACTGCAAGTTAAAGATGGCCCCTATCACTTGTTCATCTACCTTAAAATATTATAGAAGGAAGTTATTTTTATGTTTCAAACCAGTACTAAAAAGGAAATGAAATACTATGAATTCATTCATTTTTCATGGATTTCAATTTTTGTGGTTTTGCAAAAAGTCTGCTTACAAGCCTTTAGAAATTGTGTTTTTCGTTGAACATTTAAATTCTTTGTTCAACTTTTACCATGAAATCCACAAGAAGTAGTATCCCACGAATAATAATAAATCCACAGTATCTGATTATAATATTAAAACTGGACATAAATTCTAAATAAAATTTTAAAAGCTGGATTGAAGTGGAAATTTTAACTTATGCAATGTAAATGGTTTTAAAGGGGCATTAGCTACGAGATATAGAAAAAAATGAAATATGATTTTTTTTTTTCAATCATTAACGAAAGTGAAATAGTGATATAATAATTCGCTTTTAGCAGTCAGTTTGGTTCAGTTTTGTCAAAATAAGCAAAGAAACATCGTTAATGAATTATTCACTTGCAAGTGAATAATTTGATTCATTAAATCTGTATTCATGTGAACTTCAATTGAGCCCCTTAGCTAGAGATGGGTTACGCATGAACTAGGTGTGTTCAGCTATTTAAAAGAAAAGAATGTCAACATTGGAAGTGAAAAAAGGGTAAACAATTTGGTTGACTGATTCGATCTACAAAAACTCATTGTTATACAGGTAAAAAAACGACTATTAACATATTTTTTAAACCTATAGTATGAAATCATACAGACTTTATATCTATGTTTATATTTATATTGGGGTATATGACTGTCGGCAGTCTTCTGAGGTCACCTTGATGGTTAATTAGATGGCTTCTAAACAAAAATACACATGAAATGCTGATACATATTATCGAGTCTGTGCATCGTAAATTGTTTATTTTAGACTTATTGTTTGGATATACGTTTTAGTAAAATATGAGAATTTGAGTCAAATCGGTGAACATGAATTTGACAGCTAATGCCCCTTTAAATTTAGTTCTATTGTTTGAGAATACTGTTCATTATAATTCATAAAGAAGCTTATATTCTGGAATTCATAAAAGAATATTACTGAGAAACATACTATGCAACAAAACTTAGGAAACATATGCAGTTCACTAAATGCACTTAGCAATCTGAATGCACTGCAAGGGCCTTTTTTCAAAAAGAAGTGTCAATAACAACACAATCAATAACAGTCTAGTCCACTTAATCTGGGTTTTTTTAATTTTATTTTTTTGTACAATGTAACTTGATTTGGTATGTTGCATTCTATATATACAATATTTTATTTGTTTAATGGAAATATGTTACATTGAATAATATTTTTTTTTGGCTAAAATTAACATTCAGTCTAAAGAAATAGCAGGGTAAAGTTATTGTTCATAAGTTCATTTTTGTCTTACTTACCAACCATTCCCCAGGTTAATTTGTTTAACTGGCCTGTAGTACAGTGATAAACATTCCCTACTGATGATCTGAAAATAGACAAAAGCAAATTGATGTCATTGATTGATTGTTGGTTGATTAATAATGTCCAGTGGGACTGATGTCCAGTTGGACTGATGTATAGAATGAAAGACTTTTGACATATTGATAAAAATCATAGCATCAATATTCTAGAATTTGGGAGTGAAATGGGAAGCACAACACATAATACATTGACATCTGTTCGCACTCTTCAATGCTGTTAAACTGCAAATTGGGAATGGCAATATTAGCAATCCAACAAGACAACACGAATCAGCAGAGAATTTAAACAAATCAACATACCTATTTACAGCTGTGTTCCATGCACATGCAATCATCATGTTAGAGGCCGTATCTACAGGTACAATGTCAGCTGTTTTACTGGGGTCGCCAATCATATTTCGCAACAAACCATTTCCTATCTAAATAATTATTATTAAATATAAAACAAGATTGTTCATGAATGTATTTTCTTTTAGCATATAATCAAGACTTTTCAGATAGTTATATTTTATAATGTAATGGTAATATGAATATCATATCTACTTTCCATTTGTTAAAGGTCAAATGTCAAAGTGAATGCATTTTTCAGTTGAAAATCAAAGGTACAGGTAAAACACTGATATTCCATACACTTTTTAGTTGTATTTTTCTTGCATAACTTTATTTATTTACACATTAACATGTGTTTTACATGATTAATAGTATTTAAGGTATTATATATGGTTAAAGTAAAAATGCATTGCCCGACATTGAACTTATATAAAGGATTCAGTGATACACACTATTAAATTCATTTAAACTTAAAAATCAGAATTCTGTAACAATGTAAATGTTCTCCATAAAGTTAAAACCATGATTTTCCAGAAAGTCTATGGATACATTTGTTACCTGTGCATTTTAATTATTTTTACGAAATACTTCAGTTGCTTCTGTTTCAAGTATGCCAATAAATACACCATCATGTGTGTGATTTCTATTAATTATAACTTGGATAAAAATATTAATCTGATATATCTATAACAAAACATAGATTTCTAAATTATAACTTACTGCTGCCAATAGTCCTGTTGGTCCATTGAAGTTGTCAACCCAACCCTATAAGCAATAGATATGAACATTTCAAACTTTTTCAACCATTTTAAATGACATTCAAATGTTATGTTAGATAGTTTCAGGTGTTTTGAAAAAAAAAATATGGATCCAGTTATAGCTTTTAAATTTTTAGGAACATTTGTTTTGGTGTTTGATTGTACAGAAATTATTTATTAGAGTATTTCTTTTTTTATTTTTTCTAGAGGTGTAAGGGAAATAACTCTCTTTTTTATCATTGTAAATTCAAAAGAATTTTATTTTTAAAAAAAGTATTTATTGTATTTGTATTACTGATCATTTATTTTTTGAAATTTTAGTAATTTTAGATTAATAGTAATTGACCAAGAACAAGTCTTATACGCAAATTCAATCATGCTCCTGTAGTCTGATTAGAAGATCAAATCTGTGGTCCCATGTTGGGAGATGGTTGCATTCTCAGTATCAAAGAAAACCCTATTGCAAAGGCAAGATTCCCTAACCACCTAAAATATTTTTTCCAATTTCAGTTCAAATTTAAGGCTCTTCATCCCAGTAGACCCAAATTACAGAAATTATCCAATTGATTTATTGTTGCAAAACTGAATATGTAAGAAATACTTGACACTAGCTGAAAAGTAAACAACATTTAATTATACCCCATTTTTCATATTCATTTTACTTGATGAACAGTATATATGTTTAATTCCATTATTGACAGTAAGGGTTATCTTCATGTCATGTCTATTTATATGGGATTATAACTGCTTTTGTATCACTTAAACCTTCATAACTTTCATAACATTATTGTTATATACATTTCGATATATTTATTGAAAGAGAACAACACATTTCTGAAATAACTTTCAATGGGTATGCTGGAGTTTAAAAGTTTGAAAGCAAAATATCAAAAACATTTCAAAATATCAAAAGCAATAAAGACCAAGATAGAACAGTCACAATCTAGTAAGGTCACAACCTAGTAAGGTCACAATCTAGTAAGGTCAACTTTGCATGAGAGATGTTTTGATCAGAGTTTTTGTATAATTCCATAAATTGTTTAAAATACAATGTCAAACACATGTTCTACATGCTTTGTGATACATACAGGTACTGGTTCTTCCCATGATGCACCAACAATGGATGGTCTAAATATAGCTACAGGTAATTCCCCTCTTGCTTCATGCACTAAGTACTCTGCTATAGACTTTGTATATGTGTATGTATTTGGCCTGTCCTTAATCATCTTTGGTGTCAGCATATTTAATATCTCTGTTCCCATCCATCTGTTAATTAATATGTAAATATTTGATAATGCAGGAAAGGGTGACCTTTTCAAGATTTTTCCCTACATAAAAAAAATCCAGGGTAACACGAATGTGTATATGCTTTTAGAAAATGCAAAATATGTATGGCTACTGTTTTAGAATATATATATATATTGCATCTTCTAATGACTTGTACACATTTGTTTTACCCAGCATTTTTTATGTTTAATAACCCATCAGAGATATATGGTATGGATGTTTATCTAAGTTTGAAGATTATTTGGTATTAACTGGATGTCCCCACAATCCCTTTTACTCATCACACTTTTACAAATAAATGATTGACATATGTTAATTTCGACAACTATCAAAGTTGTGGTCATTTTAAGAAGAAGACATATATCAAATTTTCTGTTTGAATTGTTTTACACTAGTCATTTTGGGGCCCTTTATAGCTTGCTGTTCGTGTGAGCCAAGGCTCAGTGTTGAAGGATGTACTTTGACCTATAATTGTTTACTTTTTACACATTGTGACTTGGATGGAGAGTTGTCTCATTGGCACTCATACCACATCTTCTTATATCTATATTCAATACAGCTATGAATCCTTATTTCAATTATCTTTAGATCTGAGTATAGTATTTAATTAAAGAACATTTTCTTTTTCTGAGAGACAACACAATATTCACATATTTAATATTTTATCAATTTCTGTATTTTTTAAGGCAAATCTATGTGTGCTGTTCAAATTTCATTCAGTGGTAATAAGTATGTATTATAGATAGAGTTGAAAATATGCAAAGAACCCAGGGTCTAATCAGGAAATAATATATGTCCTTAGTTTAAGTTAACATGCCAGCACAGAAGACACTTCATACATACCCAGTAGCATCCAATATTTTACTAGGATGAAGAGGTGGTTCGTACACTTTCTCTTCTATCTTCTTTACATTACAATTGGCGTAGGCTGTGGAAACATGTAGGAAAGACTGAAAAAAGAAATCACACAACATCGGTGAACATACATGTAACAGTTACAGTAACTCTCAATTAGTCCCAAGCATTTTACAAAACTTGCACTAAACAGTAAAATTAAAATTGAGAATGGAAATGGGGAATGTGTCAAAGAGACAACAACCCGACCATAGAGCAGACAACAGCTGAAGGCCACCAATGGGTCTTCACTGCAGCGAGAAACTCCCGCACCCGGAGGCATCCTTCAGCTGGCCCCTAAACAAATATGTATACTAGTTCAGTGATAATGGACGTCATACTAAACTCCAAATTATACACAGGAAACTAAAATTAAAAATGATACAAGACTAACAAAGGCATATACACTGCAAATTTAGAAATTATTGCAATGTTTTTTATTAACGAGAAAAATGCAACAGTATCAGGTTTGCAATTATAAAGACTCACACGTTGTACTATGCAAATATAGTTGTACAGATAACATGAAGCAATAAACATTTAGTATACATTTATAGTCTCCTGGTATCCTGCTCCTGTTGTGATGAGCAAGTGGTCATATTTAAATTACCGTTAAGGTCAGAGTTCAACTCGGGTCTTCATTGTGGTTTGCATTTAAGTAATGCTGATTTCATTAAAAAAAAAATTTAATGGTTGGGAATTAAAAAAAACTATATGTTTAATAGTAAATATTAACTTGCAGGATAAAAACAATATTTGTATAGTGTAGGAGAATATCAAATTCTTTGTGCTGACTATCATGGCTACGAACAGGAAAAAACCTTGGCCAGTCTCACTTTTCTTTCAGTTTCTAAAGCTCGTACAAATTAATTTTATATTTCCCTACAATCATGACAATGTACAAATATCATGAACATGAATATAGCATATAGAAATGCCCTGCAATTCTTTATTTTCTATCAGTTCATAAGCTTTGTACAATTCAATTCAGGCCTCTACAATAACTTTTTTTCCAACTTGTCCAGTAGGACAAGTACATACCAAAACTTACTTGTCCGAATGAAATTGTAATTTGTCCAACAAAAATCTTAATAATAATCTTTTTTGCATTTTAAGTTGATTCAGGGAACAAAATGAATTAAAACAATAGAACAGAATTTGATTTATATCTTTTGAAATACCTTTTAAAAATATGAGTCGAGAACAACTGAATCTAGTCATGTCATAGGACTTATGTTCTAGTTTTCATCAATGCCAAAGTCTCATCAGACTCTACACATGAGGCACCGTCTGATAGGCCTGTCAATTTCCACTCATTGGATTTGTATCCTGGTTTTTTAAGTTGAAAAAAGTTTCTTCAAATTCAATCAATAAAAAAAAAGAAGATGAGGTATGATTGCCAATGAGACAACTCTCTGCAAGAGACCAAATGACAAAGAAATTAATAACTATAGGTCACCGTATTGCAAGTATTGTTTTTTTCTTCTATATATGATCAAATATGATTTGGGAATTTTATGGTAAATAATTTCTTCTTTTTTATTTAAAAAATATTTTTGTTAAAAAAAATATGGTATGGTATTTATTATAAAGCAACAGAATAAGGTAGGAAAACGAGGTACTGATTTGTCTTGGTCCCGAAATGTCTCCTGCGTTGCCAAACTGTCTATTAATCATGTCTATTAAATATGTCTCCTACGGTGCCAAATTGTCTATTAAACTTGGAGCCGAATCTTTCCAGCTGGTGACGAACTGTCTTGTAAAGTTACCTTATCTACAAAGCGCATCGCTGATTCGGATCAGTAAGACTGGTTTCCGAGAATAGTACATGTATGCCTTTTACCTGTTAAAAAGTACCTGACAAAGAACCAGTTTTAAATTATCGATTGCAAGTAAACATGTCAAATTAATACTTGTGTTTATCTTCTTTTCTTGTTTTTTGTTTATAATTACTTTGTTCATCAAAGTTGGATTAAATTTATTTTCTGCATAATAATTTAACTTGTCCCGTCGGACAAGCTTGATATAGCTTTTACTTGTCCGACCTTTTTTTCCTCTGGTACCGGACAATCGGACAAGCGTTATTGTCGAGCCCTGCAATTGTATATTCTGAGACCATTAACAATTTGATTACTCCATATACATGTATCGTGTTAATAATTTTTCAGAAAAATAAAACCAAAAACCGTGTTGTTTTATAGTTTATAGTCCTCTTTATCTATACTTTTCATGTACCTACTTCAATGTGGACTAGTTTTTTACAGAACTGTAGAACTCTATTAGTACCATGGACGTTCATTTCAACTGACAATCTACAATAGAAGAATAAGTTGTGTTGCAGCTAATTCATCACAGAAAAAAGCTTTATATATCTTATGAGTTTCCAAATTATATATCCCAAAGTCTTTTTGATAAGAAATAGTGTTCTTTTTCTTCGATATTGAATGTCAGGTGTCATTTTCAAAAATTATAATAAAACACAATACTCCGATCACACAGTTCCATGTTCATCAAACCATGAAATCTGGGCCAAAACCCTTATATTTGGCATATATTTTAAAAAGTTCCAATCATAATGAACATGTGTACTAAGTTTCAAGTTAATGTGAACATACATGTAAATTCATGGTAAGATTCCTTGACCAAGAACTTTAACCTCATACAGGACAGACAGATGCACCGATGGGAACACATAACGCCCCATACTATTGTGGCCTTGTGGGCAGGGCATTAGACCTGATTATAAACAATTTTAGTATTTAGATATTGTAAAATATCAGCTGCTCATCACCACTTATAAGCTGGTTCTCTGCACTTACTCACTTATTTTTAAACTGTTACCATGGTTACTCCCTGTTGTTAATGACAATAATATTCTACTGGTAGAAAAATTGATAATCTTTACATAAAGTATCCAATGGAATAAATTTGTAAACTCACTTCATTTCTTCATCAAATCTGACAGTAGCAGCTGAATGGAAGACAATCTGTACATTGTCAATCATTTTCTGTTCATCTGTCTGACACACACCTAAGTTGTCATGTAATATATCTCCACATACAGGTATTAACTTTTTATGGAATTCAGGATAATCCTCTCTCAATGTGTTAAACAGCTGTAACAGGATAGCAATACACATATGTTTATAAATAATATACATTTTGTACATCACTTATTAAAAATGAATAAAAAACACTTTATACAAATGTACATGATGTATAAGAACCGAAACAGTTGAAGAGCTATAAGACCAGATGAGTCCTAAATATAATAGCCAATTCCATCTACATGTAAGATCAATTTTGCCTGAGGAAATTGAAATCTTAGTTTCTTTTTCATTTTAATAATCCTAAAATTTGAAAACAGACAATTTAAGAACATGTTTTAAACAAAATATAAACGAAAAGACCTATAAATATACATGTACAATGTAGATACATTTTAAAGTACATATACATGTATGTTTAACTGCAACACAATCACTTCCCATATCCACCATTCATACATTCATACATTCATTATTTTCAAGTTAAGGTAGCACTACAGTCTAACAATGATTTTTTGAAGATAATTTTTTTATCACCTAATTTTGAATTAAGTATTATTCTGCACAGTTTGTAAAAATCCCAAAGTCATTATCATATCACAACAGGGAGTAAATTGATAATGTAACATATGTAAATAAAAGAACATGGTAATTAATCTAAATATATAGGCATTTGGGAGGGGCTAATATGTCAATCATCTGTTGGTACCAGTGTCCAGCTGTTAATCCCTGACCACAAGATAAATATTGTGGTCTTATCTCATTATTTTGCAACAAAAGTAATTTATATAACATGTTTATAAACAGAGAAAAAGAAAAAGATATGAAAGGAAAAAAATCTAAAGGGAACAAATCTACAAAAAATGAAAAAAAATATGGAAAAGAGTGTGAAAGTATCTTTGAAAGCCTCTGACTGCCTGTATAAATTTCATCTATTTGGTCTTCTACATTTAAATACAGTTTTAGGCATTTTAACCAATTTTAAGTTGATGTGAAATTTTTCAATTCCGTAAAACTCAAAAATCATGTGGGAGTGTCTTTTTTTAAAGAAGTGGATGGTCTTGGATCTTTTTATGAACATGTCTTTTGATGCACAATTTTAATGTTCTAGCTAATTTCAGTAATAGTATATTTCTTTTTAAAATACAAATGAAAATTATTCTTTATAGTGAGAATAATGATGTTAAATATTGATTATATGCAGCTGGTCAATCCTGTTATTCTCTTATCTTAGACTGTCTGGACAGAGGCGGAGCTTTGTCTATATTTAATTACTACATCACAGATATTGGTCAAATCTGTGACGTCAAACTCCCGCCAAATGCCAAGTTAGTGTTGCACAGTGCCACACATAATGCAAAATTTACAGCATTAGAGCATCAAAGAGACAAAGTGTGTGGTTCTATTGATAAAGTAATGGTGTCAGAACACTCCTGGGGTGTTCCCAGTGGAATTTTTGTATTTATGTTGCATTTATAGGGGTTCTAAGGGGGAAATTCCATTTTTAGGTCATTTCTCAGAACAATTTTTCATGAGATTTGTTAGGAAAAAATGAAAATATAAACTTTATGGGTACCCCCTTTGGCTTGACTTTGATATATGTGATTAAAGGGGGTATTTTCTACAATACCGTGTCCCAGTTTTTGGATAATTTGTTTCTAAATGAATTTATAGGTGTCCAAAGATGAAAGGTGAAATGAGGTTTGGCACCCAGCAGTAAAATCAATATATCTTCTTACTGGAGGCATATGTCAAAAATCTGAGACACGGTTTTGCAGCTTGTATATGGTTGATTAAAGGGATGAAAACAAATTTTTACTACCATTTGACCTGAATGTGCCATTTCCATCCAAGTTGGAAGACCACTTTTTTGGCAATTAATGAGCTATATTTTGAGATTTATCATACCTTAAATAAATTTATCTATGGATTAAGAAAAAGTAATATTTCAGCTTTAAAATGAGTTAAAGATTTTAAAAATCCATTGAGTAGTTTTGGAGAAATCAATCTTTAAAGACTGTTGGTTGGAGTCAGAAAATTCTGACTGTAGTGCTACCTTAAGTATCATACATTGTAAGTTCTCTTTTATTCATAATAAAATTGTACATATACAGTTTGATGTTTGTTTTGTTTGAATATTACACATGAACATTTACACAAGATGATAAAAGTCCCAATTCAACTTCAAAATATAAATAAGAAGATGTGGTATGAGTGCCAATGAGACAACTCTCCATCCAAGTCACAATGTATAAAAAGTAAACAATTATAGGTCTAAGTACGGCCTTCAACACGGAGCATTGGCTCACACTGAACAGCAAGCTATAATGGGCTCCAAATTCCAAAATGACTAGTGTAAAACAATTCAAATTGAAAAACCAACGGTCTTACATTTGTATCTATATAAAAAATGAGAAACAAGAAACACTTATGAACCACACCAACAAACGACAATCACTGAACAACAGGCTCCTGACTTAGGACAGGTGTATACAAATGCAGCGGGTTTAAGCGTTTTATCAGGCGCCAACCTTCACCCTAACCTGAGATAGTAGTGTAACATTACAACATAAAAAGACACACTATAAAATATCAAAAGCATGAATGGTTTGATATCTTGAAGGACTTAGATTGAGAATGTTGAGTCAGATTTCAACAAAACTTCAAAATGGCATCTTTTTAAAAAATAAAATGGCGTTTTTCAGCTCATCATTGAATAGAAAAAAAGAGTAATTTTGGAATTTTTTACCAAAATATTACCATATAATTTGTATGCATTCTTTAAACATGTTAAAAGATGACATTCAAATTCCTAATTTTCTGTCACAATGCCTATTTTATTATGTCACAGCAAGAACTGATTGTTTGAGACTTTGGGTCATCTGGTGGAATTATAGTTATCTCGTACCATTGCAAACTCGTACCACTGTCAACTCGTACCACTAAATACAAACTCGTACCACTGCAAACTCGTACCACCAGTGACCACTGCTAACTCGTACCACGGTAAATTCTTACCATTGCAAACTTGTACCAACTTATTTAAATGCATTCAAATGGTGTTTAATGATGAATAAATATTTAAATTTCACTCAATACCTCATAAGTCTGTAAAAAGTATATAATTTAAAATCACAATGACCAATTTGTAGCTGATTTTTCCTTGGCTAATTGGATAATGAAAACTGTAGCAGATTGGCTTTGTTGTCTCCCTTGAACAGTTCCATTATTTAACTTTTACTGACAACTATTTGATTTAATTTTTAATTATTACAAATTAGTAACATTTGAATAGATTTTGGTATTTATAATTGTTTCTAAAAGGAATTTTATTTATTGAGAGAATTTATTTATCTTGTTTTGAAAAGTTTAAAATTGTTTATGACCAAAATTTAGAAAGTATGAAATTTATTTATATACAATATTCAGCTCTTTGATGAACAATACCACCATGCATAAACCTCAACGATAAGGATGGTCATTATAATAAACTTCCGCGTCATCGTAGATGGCAGGGTCTAACTAGAGAGTGACACCATATACAAATGTCGTCATCCATTATGGTTATGAGGGACATCACAAGCATGCAACATTTTATGAGGAAATGTGGCTTTGAGACGACTCATCTCAGCTTGTGCTTTGATAATCAGGAATTTCATTCAATAATAAACATTATACAATTAATTCCAACCTGTTAAATTATATAACACCAATCATAATATAATAGCAGTATTAGACAATGTGATTAGTTAACTACAGACATAATCACACAATCAAAGGAATTTAATTTATCAATTAATAACATGGTAATTAAGAAATTCATTTGTTTTATAAAATATTTTTTGTATAAAATTAAGGAAAATCAATTAATATTTTATAAAGATTTTCAAAATCAATGCATATATTTTTAATGGTACGAGTTAGCAGTGGTACGAGTTCGCAATGGTACGACTTCGCAGTGGTACGAGTTAACATTGGTACGAGTTGACTTATAGTGGTACGAGTTGACATGGTACGAGTTTGCAATGGTACGAGTTAACTTGCTTCCATCTGGTGTAACTCATTCATAATAAAACAACTTGAGATTGGTGTATTGTTAAAGTGGCACATTATAACACCTGTAGGCTGTAGTGTATTTATACATTGTACCTTACTGCTGACGATTTCTTCAATTCTCTGTACAGGTTCCTTCCCTTTCTTCGGTCTTACAAGAAGGTACAAAGTCTTCACTTCAGGACAAGATCGCAATATCTTTTCCACTAAAACTTTACCCATGAATCCTGTGGCACCTGTGATAAAGACACCTTTATCACGGTAAAACTCTGGTATGGAAGGAACTGAAGACTCCATTGCTGAGGTGCTTAAAAAATGAAAAATTCAAATGTACACGTTATGTGACAAAGGGTAATAAATAAAGTGAAAAATAGGTTGTAATTTTATCCGACAAGTGTCAAAATATAGGTTGTTTGGACAACTGTACTTTTATGTGGAAATATGTAAATAATCATGTCAGAATGTCGTGATAAACAAAAATATGATTTTAAAGAAATCCCAGAGATCATTTTTAGTTGTGTAGTCAAAACACTTTAAGTCAAAATAGGCATATTTAAAGAGAATTTGCCAAAATACCTGACTAGCGATAGCCAAGTCGAACTTCTCACTAACAGGAAGTGACGTAAAAAGGAAATATATCAGGTAAGATTGTTCCTCTAAGGAACCATAACAGATACAACAAAATACACTGATTAAGTATTAACAACAAAACGCCACATCGTACCAAAAACATAAAAAAAAAATCGACATGTATTACCCACTGTCGATTATCGGCTGTTTTGTTTTTGGCAAACGCGTTTTATCTTTTTTTTTGTTGATCCAAATTCACAAAAGTCATTGACTAGAAATTTTTGAGTTATCTGAGAAGAGACTGATTAATGATTATGTAGGAACATTTTTACCAAACAGCAAACTAAGATAAAAAAAGAAAAGAAAATGTTCAGATGTATAACAAATACATTTGCTGTGTATTTTTGGATTTGCCTTTATCTGGGACTAACCAATTATAGGTGACAGCCAGGCTATACCAGAAGACCACAGTGAGAACCAAACTGAGTTTAGGAAGGCAAACTATGTATGTATATATGTTTTATTATAGTGGATTTACAAAACCAAAAGTAGCATATATATCCCTGTGTTATTGTATGACAAGACCTAAGACCAAAAGTAGCATATCCCTGTGTTATTGTATGGCAAGACCTAAGACTGCCATCTGTAATGCTTCGATCCTTTATTGTTTTTGTTATGTTAAGAGAACGGTGATCCCATCAGTTTATCTTTAATTTTGAAAGCACAATTTCATAAGAGATGCAGCCTCAAATATGTTTATCATTTAGCTTTTGTTGTATTAACACGAAAGAGCTTTTTCAATCTTTAATATTTCCAAAATCTGCATGACAGTTTTGCAAAACATGTAGAATGAAAACAAACTTTGCGACTTACACTTTTAAATTATACTGTTGAATATAGCACGATATCAACTCCATTTTGGCGAAATATGAAAAATATCTATCGTTTCTAATCTAAACCCCAATCTGCCCTAAAAGAGAGGCGAAATATACCAATGAGATATTCAAACTCATAATTCGAAAATAAACTGATTTGTTATCAGCAAATAAAAATCATACTAAATATTATACATATGTACTTTCACGGTACTACAATCTGTCTATATCAATATTTTGGCATTGCACAAGGTCATGTTTTCTCTGACTGATAATGACGTCTTTACATTAAATCCATTGGATGTTGGATGTGTACTGATTGATATTTTAGTCTTACATACATGATTTTTTTATTAGTTGTTATTGGCTTTGAACTAGCTGTCAGTAACTGCGAGTTCTCTCACATTTGTACCTAGTGTCTTTTTTGTTGTTAGGGATATATACCCTGCCACGTCCTGTCTGTGTTTTTGTTTGATGTTTTTCTTTGTATCGATCTGATGAGTTAAGCCTTTTTCCACTGATTTTTATAGTTTGTTCTTATGTTGTGGTGTTACACCACTGTCCAAGGTTAGGGGAGGGTTGAGCGCTAACAAACATGTTTAACCCCGCCACATTCTTCAAGTCAGGAGCCTGTAGTTCAGTGGTTGTCATTGGTTTACGTCTCTCATATTTGTTTTTGGCCGTTAGTTTCCTCAATTGAATTGTTTCATATTTTTTTCATGTCGGGGCCTTTTAAAGCCGACTATACGGTACGGGGTCTTCTCATTGTTGAAGGCCGTATGGTTGCCTTTAATTGCTTTCATCCACTTAATTTGAACTTTGGTGGATAGTTGTCTCGTTGGCAATCATACTACATCTCCTTATTGTTATATTGACAACGACATGACAAAAAAAAAAAAAAAAAGACAAACAACATCTAGCACACAAAACACAACATAGAAAAATACAAACTGAGCAACACGAACCCAACCGAACTGAACCGGGGGATCTCAGGTGCTCTGAAGGGTAAGGAGATCCTGCTCGTCATGCTGCACCCGTCATTAGCATTTGTTTGCCACTCGCAAAAAACATCCGACAAATCCTGAATATCGCTTGATGCATAACATGTGTTATTTTTTGGTGCTATGAATTATTCTGTACAAGCTTATTTACGCATATTTGATAGACCAGTTTGAAATTATCAAATATTCGACTAGAACTGCAAAGCAGAAACTTTATTTCGTTTAAGAATATGAGCTGCGTCGGATAGAAACCGGCCTAATGCAAATAAATATCAATACCCTGCTATTTCGGGTTAAAAAATCTCTATGCAAAGCCTATAACTGAGTTGACATAAGTCTAAAAACTCTACTAAACAGACCAAACTTATTCATTTATTTTGCATTTGAATGTTCCGAAATCAATCAAAGTCTTATACATATACATGAATACGTGCACTTGCATAAGGACGATATCTATCCGACGCTGCTCATATGTAATGGATCTTTTTTTTTAATTTTGTTGCTGTCCATTATTTTAACTATATCGTCGTGAAAATCGAATAAAATCGAGTGCTGCATGCCCTGAAATATTGTTCTGTATAACTACAGTTCTTTGCACCTATTTGTTCGGATCTTTTTTTTAAGAGGTTTAAAGTTATAAAAAAATTGTGAGATAGGCACTTTAAAACAAATGTAACGATGTGGTTATAAAAAACAATTTATGTATCTTACATGATAAATACTTATGGATAAAAATTAAAAGAATAGACACTGATGTTATATATTATTAATTAGCTCCACCCACAAGCGTGTTTATAGTTTTGGCTATTTTACCTTTAATTTTTATAGTTATATCCACTCACCACTTAGGTTTTGAATTTTGTAAATGCACCAGAACTGCTAGTTACTGGTATATAAGTACTCGAAACTGGGGTGGAGGCCTCGGTGGCCGAGTGGTCTAAGTAGTTACTACTGTAATCACTAGCCAGTCAACACTGAGGTTGTGAGTTCGAACCCCGCTCGTGCGGGTGCACTCGACTCCAATCTTAATTGACTAGGATTGTCAGTTTTCCTATCGAAGGTCGGTGGTTTTCTCCGGGCACTCCGGCTTCCTCCACCAATAAAAACTGGCCGCCACGAAATAGCACAAAAGCGGTGCTTAAAAGTGGCGTTAAAACACCAAAAATCAAATCGAAACTGGGGTGGGGTAGAGGGAGTATGCCCCCTTTGATAAGAATATATATATATACTTTTTTAGCATACAATCATCCCAAATATTTTCAAATCACTCCGCTTGGCAATATATATACCTATTTCAGGAATTACGTCCCCTTTCAAAAACCCTGGAGCCGCCCCTGAATTTAATTGAAATAAGAGATTCGCATGAGTCGGGTGTTAGTGGTTGATGTAGTATGTTGTACCGTGAAGGCGTCGCATGAGTCGGGTGTTAGTGGTTGATGTAGTATGTTGTACCGTGAAGGCGTCGCATGAGTCGGGTGTTAGTGGTTGATGTAGTATGTTGTACCGTGAAGGCGTCGCATGAGTCGGGTGTTAGTGGTTGATGTAGTATGTTGTACCGTGAAGGCGTCGCATGAGTCGGGTGTTAGTGGTTGATGTAGTATGTTGTACCGTGAAGGCGTCGCATGAGTCGGGTGTTAGTGGTTGATGTAGTATGTTGTACTGTGAAGGCGTCGCATGAGTCGGGTGTTAGTGGTTGATGTAGTATGTTGTACCGTGAAGGCGTCGCATGAGTCGGGTGTTAGTGGTTGATGTAGTATGTTGTACCGTGAAGGCGTCGCATGAGTCGGGTGTTAGTGGTTGATGTAGTATGTTGTACCGTGAAGGCGTCGCATGAGTCGGGTGTTAGTGGTTGATGTAGTATGTTGTACCGTGAAGGCGTCGCATGAGTCGGGTGTTAGTGATTGATGTAGTATGTTGTACCGTGAAGGCGTCGCATGAGTCGGGTGTTAGTGGGTGATGTAGTATGTTGTACCGTGAAGGCGTCGCATGAGTCGGGTGTTAGTGGTTGATGTAGTATGTTGTACCGTGAAGGCGTCGCATGAGTCGGGTGTTAGTGGTTGATGTAGTATGTTGTACCGTGAAGGCGTCGCATGAGTCGGGTGTTAGTGGTTGATGTAGTATGGTGTACCGTGAAGGCGTCGCATGAGTCGGGTGTTAGTGGTTGATGTAGTATGTTGTACCGTGAAGGGGTCGCATGAGTCGGGTGTTAGTGGTTGGTGTAGTATGTTGTACCGTGAAGGCGTCGCATGAGTCGGGTGTTAGTGGTTGGTGTAGTATGTTGTACCGTGAAGGTGTCGCATGAGTCGGGTGTTAGTGGTTGATGTAGTATGTTGTACCGTGAAGGTGTCGCATGAGTCGGGTGTTAGTGGTTGATGTAGTATGTTGTACCGTGAAGGTGTCGCATGAGTCGGGTGTTAGTGGTTGATGTAGTATGTTGTACCTTGAGGGCGTCGCATGAGTCGGGTGTTAGTGGTTGATGTAGTATGTTGTACCGTGAAGGTGTCGCATGAGTCGGGTGTTAGTGGTTGATGTAGTATGTTGTACTGTGAAGGCGTCGCATGAGTCGGGTGTTAGTGGCTGATGTAGTATGTTGTACTGTGAAGGCGTCGCATGAGTCGGGTGTTAGTGGTTGATGTAGTATGTTGTACCGTGAAGGCGTCGCATGAGTCGGGTGTTAGTGATTGATGTAGTATGGTGTACCGTGAAGGCGATTCCTGTTGTACCAGTTTATCTTCTGCCTACTATAGTAAAGGACATCAGTATGTTTTTAGTATAGGCGTCCGTCCATTCCTAGGTCTGTTAGTCCGTCCGTACCATATCAGGTTTAAGTTTTTGGTCCATGTAGTTTACCATGAAGTTGTGTTCACATCAACTTTGAACTAAGAAAATATGCTGATTATGAAATGAACTTAATAAATTACATGCCAAATTATGGTTTTTATCCGTTTTCAGGATTCAATTATTTGTTAAATCTCAGGTTAAAGTTTTGGTTAGGTAGTATATCATAAGGTTGTGGTCACATCAACTTGAAATTTATTACACATGCTCCCTTTTTTTTGGGAAGGGGGAGTGAATTTTAAAATGATTATATAATATGCACAGGCACTTGTTACATTCATGGGAAGGTCGACTATCCATGTATAATAGAAGTTAGAGGTCTATTATATATGGATAGTCGACCTTCCCATGGATAGAAACAAGAGCCTGTGATAATATGCCAAATAACCATTTTGACCCATTTTGGCATGGTGTACTATGGACACATTTCCTGGTTTATAACTATTTGCAATCTACGAAACTAACAGATAACTCAGTTCATTATATATTTGCCAGTTTAACAGAAAGCTATTTATTTCCTATTCTTTTGTTAAGGTATCAAGGTTATTGAATTCAATTCTTATCATTTGGATATAGGATATTTATATTTTAAAGAATAAGGAAATAATCAGTCTACATACTTTATTATCATGTATATAAATGTATATCATTTTGGAACATTTGATCTTGAACCTTGTGCTTTGTACCATTTGTCATTTCTTTTGCCAGTTTTGGATGGCTTTTTTTGTGTATGTTTCATGAATGTGTTGTACATGGCGAATTCATGGACAATCTCGTCTGTATTGAAACACAATCATTATATACGTTACAGGCATTTTGTAAAATGACTGAATTTTCCGGCAATTTACATAATGCCTATACTTGACAGGCATATATAAAATGACTAAAAATACCTATAAAAATAAGGAGATGAGGTATGATTGCCAATGAGACAACTATCCACCCAAGTTCAAATAAAGTGGATGTAAGCAATAGTCAGTTTCAGTAATTTGTAGAAAAAGATTAGAATATCATTGAGATATGACAAAAACACAATATCTTGCAAATGAAATGCCTAATGGTACAGTAAAATTAAGTTTATTCTTCAAATACTACATGGGAAAGTTTGTATGTCTGTAATAGGTTCTTTTAGTGAAACACATTAAGTTTGTACTTACTTATTATTTCAGATAGTAATTTTATGCCTTCTTGTTACAGAAGGACAAATTGTTCTCACAATGAATCAAAATTTAAAGACAATTTTTAGAAAATCTAGATTCAAAACAAAAGAAGGATAATGTTTGATTTACTAATTGTTGTTTGTTTGCGTTCAGTGGCAAATATTTCAGGACGAGAAAAAATGATATAAATCAAATAGGTAAGTTCTACAATAGATTTTTTGGGTAAGGGACAAAATTATTGACTGCCGCTTGAAAAGAATGTATATTGGGTAGGGACAGATGTTACTTTCCAAAAGGCACCTTTTTAAGAAGTGTTCTTAAACGTTCAGAGAGCGTGGTACTTTCCTTACAAAAGGCATCATATTCATACATGCTGCACAGCAAAACGAATTTCCCTCTAAAGCTTTGGTTTCACTATACAAGGTCGTGTTTGGTTGTGAAATGAAGATATGATTATCATCGTCACTACCTCCAGGACATTCTTAGGTCTTCACAATCTGATGAATTAAGGCGACAGTAGTGTACTGATGTTAAAATAAAAACAACCAATCAAAAAGAGGCAAATCAATGTGCATCCGTCCAAAGTGTAAGCGTCTCCTACTAAGCATGCATCACCTACTATGAGAATATCTGATTCATTCTGGTGAATGCCCTGATAACCCAAAAGATGTAAGTTAACATAATCATTATAATTTTACTTCAAATCTTTTGGAAACACGTGAAAAGAAGATATTTATACGTGTGCTGCTTAAAAAACCCCATGTTTTTCAAACGTTTAAAAGTTGACAGAGCTGAAATTGTCATGGTCCGGGTTTCACCAAATGTGGTTGTAGTGCTAAGACCAGATTTAATGCCAAATGATGTATTGCCAAAAAATCAGGACAAATGATCAACAGAACCTTCCATCCAAATATTTTGATGAAATAACAAATAATAGTCGAGTTCAGTACTTGTGGGAATTTTAAATAATTCAGTAGACTTTATTTTTGATAATTAGATTCTAATCTACTTACCAGCAAGCGTTAACATTCAGTAATTATCATAGATAAAATTGCTGTGTTCTTCCATACAATTTTTGTGAAAATTTCATTCTATAAAATAATTCAGGCATTTTGTAAAATGCCTTTTAATCTTTCTGGGCATTTGTAAAAAGCCTGAAAAAAATAGTCATTATATAAAATGCCTAAATCTCAAAGGCATTTCAGAAAATGCGTAAAGTTTTCCGGCATCTTATAAATGCCTAAATTTAATAAAATGCCTCTTACATATATATATATATACGCTTGAGTTATCTTCCTTCACATACTTTCGCCTGTTTCAAAGTATATGTACTGCGAAGCGGGGAACTTTCCGAAGTGTTGATTACTCACATGGTATTATACAATATTACTTTTTTCCAGGCTTTGTAATTGATTTCAATTTTCTCTAATTGAACAGTGTGTATGTTTGATGCTGAACACATGTACTTAACAAGCTGACGGTAATAAATTCTTATAAAAAGGCAATGCTGTTCAATAGGTAGAGTCAGACATTTTGACAAAAACTACAAATTAAAGTTATCGATGTATCATAGTTATCGAAAGAAAGCAAATAAGGACATTCGGACTGAAATAATATTTTAACATTAATATAGGATAGACCACTAAAGGTTTATCCTGTTTTTGCGATTACTGAGGTGGCCTAGGTGGCAGAATAGCCTAAGTAGTCGAACCACTGTGTCACTAGCCTGTCAACACGGAGGTTGGGAGTTCGAATCCCGCACGGTGCAGGTGCCCTCGACTCCAATCATAGTTGATTGGGTTTTTATAGTTTTCCTACCGAAGGTCGGTGGTTCTCCCCGGTCACTCCGGCTTTCTCCACCAATAAAAACTGACCGCCACGAAATAGCACAATAGTGCTGAAGTGGCGTTAAACACCGATCAATAAATAAATTTCTGAACAGAAATCCACGTGTACAAGTTGTAAAAATGTAACGGCACAAACCGTAACAAATATTTCTGTGGTGCTACAAAGAGCATTTGTGATAGACTACAAAAAACGTATACTATTAAATATGTATTTTCGTGATTAACAGATTTTTAAAGATTAACCTGTGCATTTTAGCCTCAGTTTGATAATGTATTCGTTTTTTTTCTTACGTTCGACCCCCAAAGTGCATGTGGTATTTTCCCCATCAAGTTAACGTCAAATGTTCGTCGTAAAAACTTGAGAATTTTTCTTCTCTTCTTAACGAATTTAAAAAAAAACAAACTATGGCACATCAATACTTTGTCTTGTTTTTACTACAAACGTTTCATTACAGTTGTCCCGGCATCAACATATATTTTCATAAGTTAATCAAGGTATCCCAATCCAATGGGAATAAAAGTGATCACGCAAGTTAATTCTTTTGTCCCACCAAGAACCCTTCACTGATGGACGACTGAAGTATACTACATCACCTCCTGCCAACCAGGCACACCACCAACCAAAAGTACCAACAGTCATAATGGTGTGATCACAGGAAGATAATGTTGCCATGTCAATAGTTCTTTTTTCATGAACATATTCTACACGAATATTCCCAGGCATGTTTTGTTTTGCCCATTCTAACCCATTAGATGCTACAATGAATATAACGTCGTTGTACTTGTTTAAAAAATAATTAACTGCTTTCACTATATATTCAGGCGTAGCAACAGTAAAACCTTGCTTGTTGTTTACCATATCACCTCGCCTAATATGAACGCCAACTAAGGTCACGTTTGTTCTAGATCTAGAGTACTTCGTCAAGATTTGTTTTATTATGCTATTCGCTTTTTTGACTATGTGATCACGAAAAGTAAGATGGTTTCTGAGAGGTTTTTCGTATTCATGAAAATATTTCCATGACTGAAGATACGTTCTTAAACGAAAACTATAAGAAGAGTTGAACTTTCTTAAACTTGGATCATAAGCAGCAGGCAGTTTTTCATCAAGTGATTTCTGTTGTTTACAAAACAAATCAGTTTTGTTAAATTTTACATTGATTTTGAATACTTCACTGAGAAAAGAATCACTATTTAACACAACCGTCATATTTTTGGATTTTGCAATTCCGAAAGTTGATGCGAATTGGAATATATGATTGCCTAAACCACCAACAAACATTACACACAGCACGCCTTCATTCTCTCTCAAAAGACTGTCCACCGTCATCCAATGTAAAGTGTTTTTTACAGGATCAAACGATATCCAGAAAATGATGACACTAAGCATTACATCTGAAAAAGTGAAAAAGTATAAGAAAAAAAAAAAAACAAGAAAAACAAAATTGCTTATAGTGGCTGTGCGTCAAAGGCTTAAGCTAGAAAATTCACCCCAATAGTGTAGTTGAAATATAATGCAAAAGAATAGGGATGGAAGTATATTTGATAAGTTTTCATGATTATCGGGAAAATCATACTGTATCAAAAAAAAAGAACACTTTTGTTATCAAGGCCCACCCCCTTTTTAGTTATGCAAATTGCCACAGCACATTAAGACATTAGCTTTTGACTCTTGAAAAAAGTTATAAATGTGATTGCTTATTCATAATTGTTTATAAAAGCTTAGTAGATGTGGTTTTATTGCCGATGAAACAACTATACATCAGAGACCAAATGACGTAGAGGTCATCATACGATTTCAATAAAGATTGATTGATTGATTGGTGTTTAACGCTATTTTCAGCACTATTGTGCTATTTTTATGCCCCCGCCTCAGCCAAGGGGGTATTAAGTGTTACCCTTGTCCGTCTTTATGTCCGTCCGTCCGTACGTACGTACCAAAATTAATTTTCGTTCTCTAACTTTAGTTTGCCTCTACCAAATGTTATAAAACTTATACACAATGCTTATTACCACAAAACTGAGATCAAGTTTGAAATGGGGTGGCGGTTTCTTATATTGTTCAAGAGTTATGCCCCTTTAAGTAATGAAAAAATTGCTGAATTTTTCGTTTCCGTTCTCTAACTTCAGCTTGACTCTATCAAGGAGGGACGAAAGATACCAGAGGGACAGTCAAACTCATAGATGTTACGAAACTTATACACAATGCTTATTACCACAAAACTCAGATTAAGTTCGAATTTGGGTGGCGTCAATTTTACAGTTCTCTAGTTATGTCCCTTTATAACATTATATGCAAGCGGGGGCATCATATGTATTCCATGGACACATTTACCATTTATTTTCTTGGGCGGCATTGGCGGTAATTTTTCTTATTCATGGAGGAAGCCGTAGTGCCCAAAGAGAACCACCGTTCTTTGGTAGGAAAACTAACAATCCTAATCAATTAAGATTGAAGTCGAGCGCACCTGCCACGTGCGGGATTATAACTTACAAACTCAGTGTTGACAGGCTAGTGATACAGTAGTTCGACTATAAGACCACTCGGCCACCGAGGCCCCTACGTTCAACAATGAACAAGATCATACCGTATCGTAAGCTTAAAAAAGCTCCGACATGACAAAAGGCAAAACAATCTGTTGTATTGTAAATATCTAGTTTATAGACGGAACACGTAACCTGGGCTTTCTTTAACAGTTACAGTGGGAATCTAGAAACAAACATTAATAACCTTGCAAACACTGACAAATGGAATTCTTCAATATTTGGCACGTTCTCTGTAATGATGCTATTGCTTATCTTTCTACTGGCTGTATACGTCACCAGAACTCACCAATTATTGTTCATATATATTTCACGTGATATATCTGTGCAGCAAGATAAGAGAAGTTCAGGGAAAAATATAAGAAAAATATGATGTGCAGCAAAGATTCAATTCTAGACAAATGAACCTTATTATAAATATCTAACATTAGACACGAATTATCATTGATTTGGTCATGGTTAAAAATTAACTGTTTACAAATACTAAGGATTTTCTAACCCAGGAATAGATCACCTTAGCTGCATTTGGCAAAACCTTGCGGAATTTGGGGTCCTCGATGCTATTCAACTTCGTACTTTATTTGGCCTTTTTAATGTTTTTATTGAATCGTCATTAATGAGTCTTTTGTAGACAAAACACGCGTCTGGCGTACACAATTTTTGTCCTGTTATATATGATGAGTTATCATTTTATTGAGAATACATCGTTAAGACCGCACATATATATTTGGGGTAAGAGTGTTCGTAATATATTGAGAAATGCTCTATCTTGTGATTCTTGTTTAATTCGATGTGTAAAAAATAAAAATAAAAAGACAGATGTTCAATGTTATGATGTGCTGAGCAAGTCTTACATTTTATAATATCTTTTCCTCGACTGTTTCCATAGATCAACTACAAAATAAAATATTCAAGTTTTAATTGGCATTTGTTATAAAACATGCCGGTAAATACATGTATTTGTGGTCGTATAAAACATGTAAACATTCACCAGGTAAAATCCCATCAAGTGACACTAATTTCAGACCGCGGATATTATCCTGATCCCGCAATTGCTATAGTTCTCTATAGATTGACTTATCTAGGTACAAATGTATCGGGGGCCTTGGCTGCCGAGTGGTCTGGCAGGTGCGTTCGACTCCGATCTTAATTGACCCGGAATGCCAGTTTTCATGCCGAAGTTCTGTGGTTCTCTCTGGTTACTCCGGCTTCCTCTACTAATATTAATTGAACTGCAAGATATAGCCAAAAGTGCTTATTAATTTATTGATTGTTGTTTGATAATTGTCAAGTGGCAAATATTTCATGCATGTTCAGGACGAGAACAGGTTAACATTTTGACTGCGACTGAAAAAAAGGGGGTATGTTGTTTTACATCAGGCCACATCTGGGATCAGATAAGGTCACATCCCCATTCCGACCGGACTTGACTGGGTATTTATGCATCCCACACAGCCAAACGGATGCACCACTTTAGTTAGGGTTAAACTGCTGGAACGGGAGAATTCCAAGGAATGACCATATGTCTACACCCCAGTCAATCCCACGGGAAAAAAAAGAGTGGCTTTAAACTCTAACAGCAGTATACATCAACAATCAATTAATCATTCAATCAATCAACAAATGTTTTTGCAATTCGGGACATCTACCTAAAATGATAATACTAAAAGGTCCCGCAGAAACATATGTCTCGCCCACGATTGCCACTGTCAGTGTAAATGTGTATTGCTGACTGCCAAAAACTGATTCCATTCAACAGTAAAATAGGGAAAAATTGCAAACTTTTTTCTTCAGAGGAAAGATGCTTCTGTCCAAAATTTTTCCTTGAATGTTTCAAACAAAGTTGTTGATGTCTAAAATAATTTAACCCCAGACTATGTAAATGTGAACTTGAAAAAACGACATAAAAGGTTTTTATACTTGCACCAGCTAAGATATATATAAGTATATAATCTTTATCTCAGTTTGACTTTGGTATTTAAGTGAGTTTGTCTCTCGTCAGAAAATCCTGACAAACAATCAATCAACCTTTTTCCAATCATGGTTTAAAAGTTCACTGAATTATACACATATATTTACAAGAATTTTTCCCGTCCGGTAGTAAGGCCCATACTGAAATGGGTTCTTATAGCTGAATGGGATGATTAAATACGCAGCTGTCTCAAATGGGAACGTCAAATCTACGTATTGGTAGGGTGTCGTGTATGCTCTTTCCATGTAAAAATTACAACAGCCACTTGCTGGTTTCGTTCATGACTTGTATTATAAAATCAAAGGTAAAATTTTTGTTTGTGACTAACACATTAAAACCTCTTTAGTCAATGGCGCTCTAAATATCTCGTCTGAGTTATGAATGAAATATTTGACAGTGAAAGTTTTTAAAAGCAAACATTGTCAACAACAATCAATAATTTATTAATCAATCCTAAAAATTAACACATAGATATTAAACATTGAATCTCAAAGGGTGACTGGGAATAAAAATGTGGTCCTTTTTTATCTTCTTCCGACCGGCAGCTAAATCTCTTGCTGAAGAAGGGCAACTGTTTGACTGTGTGGGATGTATAAATACACAGTCACGTCCGGTTTGAATGGGGACGTTAAATCCAATGCCTCGTGTAGAGAGAGTGCTCTGCTCTCTGCACGATATGAACCCTTGCGACAACTCTTTGATAGTCCGTAGGTGGCCTGTTGCAAGGCAACATGTCTGTCCCTATCCAATATACCCTTATTTTCAAGTGGCAGTCCAAATTTACCGACCTTCATCCCGGACGACCCATATTACATAGGACCTACGCATTGTATTTATTGCAAATTTGTTCTAGCTCGGTCTGAACAAACATGAAATATACTGATTGCCTACTATAATGTATATGAAGTAGAGATTTACTCCTATTGTTGGAAATATAATGCGAAAATTAAAAAAATTGTGTATCGTTGTATTTTTCATTTTTCATTCACATTAAGTTTAAGGAGTGTTCTGTAATTTGCTCCAAATTGAGATTTGAGACGATGAAAATAGGTCCCCATTGAACAAATCTTGAAACAAAGGGTACCTGTGGTAGCCACCCTCTCATGCTACGGCTTGATCTTGTATTTCAATCGGAACTGTCTTGTTTATTCCAATCGACCCTGTTTTGATTATTCTAATCGACTCTATTTTGTTTATTCCAATCGACTCTGTCTTGTTTATTCCAATCAACCCTATATTCTTTATTCCAAGCGACTCTGTCTTATTAACTCCAATCGACTCTGTCTTCTTTATTCCAAGTGACTCTGTCTTCTCTCTTCCAATCGACCCTATCTTCTATATTTTAATCGACTCTGTATTATTTATTCCAAGTGACTTTGTCTTGTCTATTCCATACGACTCTGTCTTCTGTATTCCAAAATAATTACACAAGTCTACACCTATAGGTCAATAGATATAAGGGGTTTAGTATTATTCAGTTGCATTTTAGAATTGTTACATTATTTTACCGTTTCGTCGATTATGACTCCATTATCAACGATTGTAACATAAGTAACACGAAGCTTTTAGTTGAGTAGAAACTGTTAACCCGCCCAGACCACTTTAGTTCACTGCCAGTTTTTTTTATAGGATTCATGTAGCACAATCTTCAGTTTTATGTGTAGAGAGAGTGCTCTGCGTCTCTGCACGAAAAGAACCCTTGCGACAACTCTTTGATAGTTCGTAGGTGGCCTGTTGCAAGGCAACATGTCTGTCCCTATCCAATATACCCTTATTTTCAAGTGGCAGTCCAAATTTACCGACCTTCATCCCGGACGACCCATATTACAGAGGACCTACGTATTGTAATTATTGCTAATTTGTTCTAACTCGGTCTGAACAAACATGAAATATACTGATTGCCTACTATAATGTATATGAAGTAGATATTTACTCCTATTGTTGGAAATATAATGCGAAAATTAAAAAATTGTGTATCGTTGTATTTTTCATTTTTCATTCACATTAAGTTTAAGGAGTGTTCTGTAATTTGCTCCAAATTGAGATTTGAGACGATAAAAAAAAGTCCTCATTGAACAAATCTTGAAACAAAGGGTACCTGTGGTAGCCACCCTCTCATGCTACGGCTTGATCTTCTATTTCAATCGACACTGTCTTGTTTATTCCAATCGACCCTGTTTTGATTATTCTAATCGACTTTATTTTGTTTATTCCAATCGACTCTGTCTTGTTTATTCCAACCAACCCTATATTCTCTATTCCAATCGACTCTGTCTTATTAACTCCAATCGACTCTGTCTTCTTAATTCCAAGTGACTCTAGCTTCTCTCTTCCAATCGACACTGTCTTCTATATTTTAATCGACTCTGTGTCATTTATTCCAAGTGACTCTGTCTTGTCTATTCCAATCGACTCTGTCTTCTGTATTCCAAAATAATTACACAAGTCTACACCTATAGGTCAATAGATATAAGGGGTTTAGTATTATTCAGTTGCATTTTAGAATGGTTCCATTATTTTACCGCTTCGTCGATTATGAATCCCTTATCAACGATTGTAACATAAGTAACACGAAGCTTTTAGTTGAGTAGAAACTGTTAACCCGCCCAGACCACTTTAGTTCACTGCCAGTTTTTTTTATAGGATTCATGTAGCACAATCTTCAGTTTTATGTGTAGAGAGAGTGCTCTGCGTCTCTGCACGATAAGAACCCTTGCGACAACTCTTTGATAGTCCGTAGGTAGCCTGTTGCAAGGCAACATGTCTGTCCTTATCCGATATACCCTTATTTTCCAGTGGCAGTCCAAATTTACCGACCTTCATCCCGGACGACCCATATTACAGAGGACCTACGTATTGTATTTATTGCTAATTTGTTCTAGTTCGGTCTGAACAAACATGAAATAACTGATTGCCTACTATAATGTATATGAAGTAGATATTTACTCCTATTGTTGGAAATATAATGCGAAAATTAAAAAATTGTGTATCGTTGTATTTTTCATTTTTCATTCACATTAAGTTTAAGGAGTGTTCTGTAATTTGCTCCAAATAGAGATATGAGACGATAAAAAAAGTCCCCATTGAATAAATCTTGAAACAAAGGGTACCTGTGGTAGCCACCCTCTCATGCTACGGCTTGATCTTGTATTTCAATCGACACTGTCTTGTTTATTCCAATCGACCCTGTCTTGATTATTCTAATCGACTCTGTTTTGTTTATTCCAATCGACTCTGTCTTGTTTATTCCAATCAACCCTATATTCTTTATTCCAATCGACTCTGTCTTATTAACTCCAATCGACTCTGTCTTCTTTATTCCAAGTGACTCTGTCTTCTCTCTTCCGATCGACCCTATCTTCTATATTTTAATAGACTCTGTTGATTTATTCCAAGTGACTGTCTTGTCTATTTCAATCGACTCTGTCTTCTGTATTCCAAAATAATTACACAAGTCTACACCTATAGGTCAATAGATATAAGGGGTTTAGTATTATTCAGTTGCATTTTAGAATTGTTACATTATTTTACCGTTTCGTCGATTATGACTCCATTATCAACGATTGTAACATAAGTAACACGAAGCTTTTAGTTGAGTAGAAACTGTTAACCAGCCCAGACCACTTTAGTTCACTGCCAGTTTTTTTTATAGGATTTATGTAGCACAATCTTCAGTTTTATGTGTAAAGATTTTGGACTGTTGTTCGCCTGTTCTTTTTCTTAACGTCGTAGTGCTGTTTCAAATAAAAGGCGAATTTGGTTATACGCCAATAAGACAGAAATCCAACTGTCAGAAAACCGAAAATATTGAAATCAGCATGCGGTCAATAAAAGAGAGGATTCTATACATATGCAAAGCTCCAAAATCGGATCTACAAAAATCAGTACTGAAAAAATATACAATAGTGATTCACAAACTGATTAAAATACAGATTTCCCTTTGTCAAAATAAAATTTATTATTCTCAACAAACACTTGCCATGAAATAAAAATTGTATACAAATGTTAATGTCTTGTCTTAAAAGTACGTGATGTTATAGTGTTTTGAAATGAGTTTTTGAGAGAATGCACAAAGATAGGAAATATACTAGCCTCTTTTTTCTGATCTGCAGCAGTACCTTCAGTACCCAAGAAATTCTATCGTCTTGATTAAAGATTCAACATAATGAAAATTAGTAATATCGTATGTTCTTCATAAATCGACCGTAAATATTCGTAAATATTCATAACATTTAAAAGTTCTTACAATCTATAAAGTTTGAACATACCTATCAATAATCTGAAAGTTAAAAACAATTGATTTTGTAATGCTTTATTTCTTAGGCTGAAAAGGACATCAAGTACGGAATTCGTGCATTTGATCCCTTGCCAAGTCAATTGTTGTTCTTATTACATAAAATACTAATGTCTTTAAGATACATTGCTTTTTTAGACGTCCAGTGGCAAATAGTGTATGTATATTCAGAACGAGAACAAATTAACGATTGATGCAATAGGTAATTTCTGCAAAGAGCTTCGACCAAGATGATGGACAAGAATTGCGACTGCCACAGGAAAAGGAGGGTATTCTTGACTTGGATCGCCATGCAACGCCCCCCCCCCTTGGGTCCGCAAAGAGAAGTTGCAAGGGTTCATTAACATGTTTAATAATGACATACTTTCTATCAACACGAGGCATAGAATTTACTGTCTTTATTCGGACCGGATGTCATGGATGTCATGATGTGGCAGCATATTTATACTTCCACTGTATACACCAACTTTAGCCAAAGCTTAACTGCCGAACGGGAGAAGTCCAAGAAACGACCATATTTTTTATATTATATGGAATATTTTCATATTAAGCAAAAAATAAATCAATCATTTAATCGTGTAGGTTCACGTGTAATCAATATGTAGCTGTAAAACCGAACATCCAAACTGAACATTTCAATTCCAAAATTAAACAGCTTTATCATAAAAAAATTTCTATAATTGAGCATACAAAACAAAGGCATACTTCTTCAACATTTAGATAACAAAAAATGTAAATAAAAAGTGTTAAAAGAAACCACTCTTACCGACAGGGTACATCAGTAGAGGAAATCTAACAATTAACCATATTGTACCTGTACAAATAGTGTGTGTATTTTTAACTTAATATACCTTTTTATGTGATTTATCGAACGGAAATTCAATACGGGTATAAGTGTATGTTATTGAATTCTTCTATTTATCACACAGTACAACCGACCATTATCGTTTTGTTTGACGGATACGATCATGCACCGCTAATGTCATATAGAACAAGGAAGAAAGTTTTACATTTGTCTATTTATTTCTTCATTTCTTTAATTGTTTCGGTCGAATGTATATTATCGAAATAACTGAGATCATGATTAAAGATAAATTACATTTTCTCTTCTTCTATACCGTTAATTTCGGGTTTTGAACAGAATGTCTATTGATTTACCTTTTGCAATCTTCAATAAGGTTTCATTTGAAAATTAAACTAATAATAGTTAAAAAAAACAATTCATATATAATATGTGCAATTTTTAAGACTAAAATTGAAGCAGTTATGTTTTGGGAAAGATTTTTTTAAGAGGCACCTTGTAAAATACATTTTGAACCGACCGTGAGTATGAAGGAACATGATGTATCCTAAGTCTCTGAATGCATTTTAAATATAACGGTTACATATATAGAATGACGATGATTTTGGTCATATAAATTAAAACGCTCATCAATAGATTATTTGTTAACTTACATCTTAACTGTTTACTGAAAAACGACGTTTTTTTTTATTATATAAAAACAACATAGCCAGTTCAGTTATTGAAAAGAATGTTAACCGAAAAAGTGAAACTTGGGTCAAACATATGAGGCGCCGTTTTATTATTTATTCCTTATTTTCTGATATCAAAAAATATTTTCTGATATCAAAAATTCAATTTTTTGATATCAAAAATTCAATTTTTTTATATCAAAAATTCATTTTTTGATATCAGGAAATCGATTTTTTGATAACAGAAATTCGAATTTTTGATATCAGAAAATATGATTTATTTTTTTATATCAAGAAATAGATTTCCTGATATCAAAAAATGATTTTGATATCAAAAATTCGAATTCCTGATATAAAAAAAAATCAATTTTTGATATCAGAAAATAAAAAATAAATGAATGATGGCTCCCTGTGTGTCAATAAAAGCATCCAAGCTCACCCATGAGCCCAAACATCAGGAAATATCTGAAATAATATTTCCGGTAGACCAATTGTTTTATAATGTGGAGTACCGCTCACGATATTGGTCATTATATTGATGACAAAGGGTCCATTGTTACAAAAACAAAATGCTTATACACTTCAAGTTTTATAAACATAATTTAGACTTCAAAGTCTCCAGAAAACTGCTATCTAATAACAATATTTGAAGCAAAAACATGTACACAAATCCTCAGTTTGACGAAACTGAACGAGTACTGATTTACCTCGATCCAACTAATTACGAAATTCGAGTCCCATGCACTACAAGACAATATATTGAAGATTTTTGAAATTATTCTAGAAAATAACATATTTACTTTTGCGTCGAACAATCCCAATCGGCGGAATTAATCGACCTAAGAATTTACTAAATGTTTAACAAAGCTTGACACATCGAAAAAAAAACACTGTTGTGTTTAAGATTTAAATACGATATGTCTGGATGATATATTCAAGTTCGACTGACGTAATACACGATCTTTTCGCCTTATGTATCTAATACAATGCATATACCCACCTAAATTGTACATACCAATTTTCTCAAAATGAAGTGTAACTTTCGTGACAGTCGTTTAATACAAAGACAAACGCTTCCAAAATGAAGGTATTTTAGAAATGAAAACGTACATCAAGCCTACTGAAACTTTGCAATACTTCACAGAAAAAGCTCATATAAAATAAATGTATTAATTTAAAGGATATATGCAAGGCGCGGTACATAAGAAATACTAGCAGTCTTTCAAAAAACGCTGGTAAAAAGACGAAATAGACCACAGGGGCGCGTATCATAGATGTTTTGGGGCGGAAATATATGCCAGTCGACTGGTATGCGTTATACATTCTGTTAATATGGATTAACACAATGTATAACGCATACCAGTCGACTGGCATATATTTCACAATGTATAATGCATACCAGTCGACTGGCATATATTTCACAATGTATAACGCATACCAGTCGACTGTCATATATTTCCATCCCAAAACATCTATGATACGCACCCCTATGAATAGACGAAGTATTTGAAAATACAAGACATGCATTTTTTTTATTAGTTGTTTTTGGCTTTGTACTAGCTGCCAGTAACTGAGAGTACTCTCACATCTGTACTTTGTGTCTTTTTGTTGTTGTTACCCTGCCACGTCCGGCCTGTGTTTTTGCTAGCTGTTTTTCTTCTTTGTATCGATCTGATGAGTAAAGCCCTTTTCAAATGATTTTTATAATTTCTTCGTACACTATGTTGTGATGTAACACCAGTGTCCTAGGTTAGGGTTTAATCCCGCTACATTCTTTATGTGTCTGTCCCAAGTCAGAAGCCTGTAGTTCAGTAATTGTCGTTGGTTCATGTCTGTCATATTTGTTTTTCGTAATATGTTTTGTTATAAATTAGGCCGTTAGCTTTCTATATTGAATTGTTTCATATTTTTCATGTCGGGGCCTTTTATAGCCGACTATACGGTATTGGGTTTCCTCATTGTTGAAGGTCGAATGGATGCCTATAATTTCTTACATCCACTTCATTTGAACTTTGGTGGATAGTTGTCTCATTGGCAATCATACCACATCTCTTTATTTCTATACTAAACAGAACTAACTGACTTACTAAATTTGCAACATAAACAACGGGAAAAAAAACTAAAAACAATATTACCAAAACACTGGGGCTTAATTAATTTCACAAAAACCTGGCTGCACAATTCTGTTTCAGAGGAAACCAATAATTGCTTATAAAAGAAGCGGGAACTTACAATTGTTGACTATAAACCTTAAAATAATTAATATGTGAGAAACACAAACACACACAACTTCTTATGACTGATGAAGCCGAACTCTGAGATATTCTTTCCTTAAACACGACCGAAACACCAGACCTAATGTTAGGGTTATGGGTGAGCTCGGATGCTTTTGTTGGCACACAGGGAGCAATCATTGATATTTTTCTTATTTTCTGATATCAAAAAATCATTTCTTGATATCAGGAATTCGAATATTTGATATAAAAAAATCATTTTTTGATATCAGAAAATGTTTTTGATATCAAAAATTCGAATTTCTGATATCAAGAAATATAGATTATTTTCTGATATCAAGAAATCGAATTCCTGATATCAAAAAAGGGATTTTTTTATATCAAAAAATAGAATTCCTGATATCAAGAATTTTTTTTGATATCACAAAATAAGGAATGAATAGTAAAACGGCGCCTCATACAAACAGGAAGATCAATTTCGTTATTAGTTTTGAACCGCCAAAAATCCTCGGAGGGATCAATCAATTCCGAGGAGCAATTACACGAGACCACAAACGGTGGAGTAAAACCTGGATCCGATTCACTCGGATTTCGGTGTTATACGAGCTCAAACAGAAACATCGACATTATAATAATGCACGTGCTATTTATATTAACTGTTTATATTCATTTATCCATATTTATTGCCGGAGTCATATGGCAAATTGTTTAAGTATGTAATAAATCAAATTTAAAAGTTTGAGATAATTTGGTGCATATGCATTTGGCAGCTATAATGCCCTTTTAAGATACACGAATGATATGATCGAACAACATGCTTTTTGTTATCGTGTACAAAACAGACTCGATTTACACTTATACGACAGATCTAGATGAAAAAAAGGTCAAGTTTTATAAACACACTTAACAATTTATTCGATATGTTGTTTCCAAACACAGTAATCTCACAATGGTCTGAATCTTCATCATTATATTTGTTTGTTTTATTAACACCGGTTTTATTAACTTATAATTTTCTCATGGCTCATTGGTCTGTAGCATTCGGAAATGATATATTTATTCAAAAGAAGTCTCTATTCCTACTAGGCTTTAGTCCTGCTAAAATATGTCGTTTCCAGAATGAACGAAGATGCAACAAAGAGCAAAATTCGAATAAAATAACATACAAGTTATAACAAATCTGTGTTACCGATTACATTTACAATATACCGAAAGCCGGTAATATGGTGCGATAAAACTGATGATATTTTTATCATTCCAAGATGGTAGAAACCAAATTCGGTTGAAATATTTTTTGACTTTTTTCTTGATATCGAGCACATGCAATTGGATTTTTTTTTCTATGTTTGTTTGATTTCATTTTAAAGATTAAACATTATGTTAATCATCGTTTTTACCAAGTCTACAAGAATGATTTTTTGTGGATCGAATCAGTCAACGAAATGGTTCATCCTTGATTCACTTTCAATGTTGGCATTCTTTTCTTTTTAATATCTGAACACGCTTAGTACATGCGTAACCCATCTCCACCTACTTGTAAGCGGATAAATTGAAGGTCACATGAATACGAATTCATTTGAGGTTAAAATATTGACGTGCAATCATTGGGTTTGGTGTAGTACAAGAAATGACAGTATTGGTAGGATTAGTTTCTGAATCAGGTAACAAACCATCCAAAGAAGTTCCGAAACACTACCTCCTCTTCGCTGTCGAGCAGTGAGCCAGGATCCCAAGCTATGATTCAGCCCCTTCCGGAATAGAGATTCATCTATAAAATATTTATAACAGAAGAGCAATCTTGACGACAAGATCGACCATCCAAGGTATTTATTGGTGTTAAGATAAAACGCACAATTACTTCACTGAAGGTGGGAAAATTTCGCGGACAGTATTAGATTTTATGTTCTACCATGCCAGTGGTTAATGGTAAAAATACAGTGAACAAAGGTAAAGGGATTTTCGAAATATTCCAGGAAGGGATTATTTCCGAGTTTTCTTGTATTTTTGAAGTATTCTGGAGAAAAATAGATAAAATTCTTCACGGTATTTAAAGATTTTAAACAGGAAGCTGGTAGTAGCAGACGACATATTGACTGGTTACTTCGCTTGACCGACTGGGGAATCTGGGTACCACCCAGTTGTCGG